AAATCCACCAGCAGAGAAATAGAAACCTTTAGAGAAGAAAATAACTCAAAAATAGATTGATAGAAGTAGAAATTTACTCTAGGTCCACAAGGGTTTGATCCTACATCCACATGGTCAAAATAATTCCCTTGAATCCATAAAGGATAATAGAATACACTAGTAGAGAAATAGAACCTCCAGAGGTTCTATTCTCAAAAATGGATTGATAAAAGCTGTAATTTACTTTGAGGTTACAAGAGGGGACTTTATATAAGCCAAAATGTAGTTACAACAAACCTCAAAGATGAGGAATCTATTATGATCATAGAAAAAAAAGAAAAATAGTTAAAACTTCCCCACATTAAAGGAGGGATATGTTTAAAATATCCTTAAGTAATTATGAGGATTATTTGAAACAATCAAAAATGAAAAATGGGAATAAAAATAAGAATTGAGATTTAGATATATTTAACATTCGACAAAATCTCTTATTAAGACATTTTGAGTTGAATGTGGGTCAAATAGAGTCTTCACACCTCCTAAGCCTCTTGTTCATCTAAAGTAGATTGAAATTAGAATGCATCATTCATTCCATCTAAGGTAATTTTAAATTAAGTTTATATTGTAGTTGATCACGAAATTAAATTGTGAGATATTGTGATGCCTCTAAATATCTATTTTTGGCCACTTGGGTCAAAAACTTTTCATACCTCATTTGATAATAGTTTATCAGCTACATCAATACACCAATACTAGGGTATCATATTGGCAGAGAAATTTTCAAACATTAAACCACAAAAGAAATGATTTCCAAGCCAAATTTCATCATTCATGACATTAACAATAATCATCTCTATACATTGCAATCCAATGGGAAACCCTGAACCAAGAAGCAAGCATCTTAATGAATTAGCCTTCAAAAGATTCAAAACGAACTTTGTGTAATGCTTACATTTTGAATGGATGTAAGTAGTGTTAAAATTATGATATTAAATTTTTAAATCTAATTGGTTACAATGTTCACAAATCATATCAATCCTCATAACTGAAATAAACTTAAAACCCGTACTCTAAGTCAAAATCCAATTAGTGAGCTATCAAGGATTGATAACCAAATATCCATTTATTGAGACTAAATTGTGAATCGCAACCACCCTCGTATGTGAGAAAACTGTTTCCTTCAATTCTCCAGGTGATAGGGAGAATGGAGCTTTGTTCTTTCTGGCCATGAATAAAATTAAAATAACTATGATAATATAAAATTTAGGTGAAAGATAATCTTATAAAAATAACATGAATACCTATCTAATAAGGTGTCATGTTAGTGTATTCGTGTATCCAAGTCCAGAGCTCTACTACTTTCATTACTCAATCTTATCCTTTGGGTAGATTAGTTATATCTAAAGTGACCCATTTTCAATTTGTTGCTAGTTATATAAAAAATATTTTAGACTCTTAGATACTTTCTATGGCAAATGAATGCTAGTTCACTACGCATACATTATCACATGAAGCAATAGAAATGCATATGAACAATTTTAGGTGTTTATTTGTCAAATAGTGTAGTTCATTCAAAAAATCAACCAGCTAAAAGTATTCTACTAAGTCATATTTATAAATGTCTTTAATCTAGGAAAAACATTGTTAGAAACTCAATAAGGTATTGAAATCAATTTCTATCATGGATGGAATGCATTTGAATGCAAATGAACCCAAGACATTATAAATATAAATGCATTACATGTGCCATTACATAACAAATATCACATGTAATATATCCAAATATGTCAGAATCATCATATTTTTTTCCCATGACTTAAAACTACTTGTATTTTAAAATAATAAGTCAAATGAATCATTACCTTTTTATTAGCTAAATTAGGTTAAAATATAATAATAAAACACAATAAGATAGTTTAAAATTGGCATAAATCATGCATACTGATGTTATCAAGTAAAGTGCTTAATAATATAAATTCAAATATTTTTTCTCGTAGTATTTTAACAAATGCCACTGGTTAATTGCTATCATTGATAAGGTGTAGTTAGCATAAGCCATGAGTGATAAATATATGAATCATGCATGATATTTAAGGTAACAAATGCCAATGGTTTCATTATGATCATATAAATGGTATCCAACACCTTGAATCATTGACCTCCTACTCTCTGATGACACTTAATACTTGGTCACATATGGCAAGAAATCATAGTCTCTCCACCATGGTATAATAGTGGCATTTTATTTTGATGCCATAGTTAAACATCATTATGAACTCATATTAAAGAAATCATCCATTTAAGCATAAATTATATATCTCATCACATTTTCAGGCATAAAAATGATGTATCTACATAAACATGATAAACAAAGAAGCATTAAGATTTTAAATGCTCATTTTAAACATTATTAAAAAATTTAAGTTTAAAACTAAATACTAGTTAGAAGATCACATTGATAGGAAAATTTATATTTTCAAAAAATCATATGTATGACATTATTAATGAACCTACATGAAAGTTTAAACAATAGGCTAGAACCCAATAAAGTTTATAAGTTGCATTTTGCATGCACCTCTCGCATGAAAGAACCAGAAATAAGGTTTGGATAGGAGAGGAGAGAGCGAGAGAGAGAGAGAGAGAGAGAGAGAGAGAGAGAGAGAGAGATGAAGGAAGAGAGGTTGCAACTACCTCTACTGCTAGATAAGATTCCTTCTATAGAATGGCCGCATTGGCCAAACTCTGGGTTTCTTTTGCTTCATTATTTTTCATCTCTCTAACGTTACTAGATTTTTCATTATTTTCTAACGTTACTAGATTTTTCTCGCAGATCTTCATTAAACGTGAAAAATTAAAAGAATGACCTCTACAGATTTGTGTGTGTGTGTGTACATGTATGTATCTATGTATTTGTATATAAACAATTTTTTATGCCTCACAATTGCTGAGGTTGATCTACGGAGACCAAACTACAACGGCAGACACGGTAGGATCTGAGGTCATGAGAGTAGAAAAGCATCCTAATTTGAAAGCTTTTCAATTATTATTTTTCCTTCAACACAAGCGCAATGCCAATTCATAATGTAACCCATGGACTATATTTAAATGCTCATGTTCAACGGTTGCTGTCAAACAAGACCATTCCTTTCAGCGGCAGTTGGCTGCCAAGATATTTTGCTTTTAGACTTTGGCGGGGATTCTGGTAAAAGTAAAAGTCACGCTATGGGGATTTAAATCGAGATAAATAAATATGACATTAAGTAGAGATATATTATATGTGTGTGTGTGTGTGTGTGTGTGTGTGTGTAAATGACACAAAAGGAGGACGAACGGTTAGGTACATTCCAAGCTGGGTAGATAAATAATCGATGTAAACTTGCAGCATGCATTTTTTTATGTTTATCTCGAAGACTCTGACTGATGGCTCGGCGTCTCTCTCTCTCTCTCTCTCTCTCGCTCTCTCTTCCCTACTGAAAGTGGCCTCCTATCCTCCCCTTTTCCTACGTCGTGGCAACTGAACTACACAACACGGCACGAAGGGCGTCCACAGCAGTCTTCACTGCTTACGACAGCTCACCCGTTCGGTACGCCGACACCGCGAGGGAGGATCGAGAGCGCACGTGTGATCCGTGAAGTCAGCCATAGCATCCTGACGCACGTGTTATTTGAACAATAACATCACCATTATTGCCATCACTGTCGTGGCGTAACAGCTCGGCCCGGCCGAGAACATCGTGACGAAGATGGACAAGGAAGCCTTTCTCTCCCCCCCTCTCTCTCTCTCTCTCTCTCTCTCTCTCTCTCTCTCTCTCTCTCTCTCTCTCTCTCTCTCTCCCTCTTCTCTCGCTAAAGCTTCTCAGCTGAATCGATAAGCATTAGGTGAAAGAGTAGATGGAAGCAATCCACCAACCGGTGAGTAGGTCCCCATTGCACAGCTCCAACTATACGTCTCCAGAGGTGAGACCCAAAAGCATGAAAGATAGAGAGAGATAGAGAGATAGAGAGATAGAGAGATAAAGACAGAGAGAGGGAGAGAGAGAGAGGAAGAAGCCTCCGCCCTCCGCTATAGTTTGGCGTAGAGGTAACGAAGCGGTTCATTCTCATTATAACGACCTTTCGGAGTCCAATGGGGTTAGGGATCCCTTGTCGTGCACATCACCGAACCCTCCTCACATGACGGCCCGACGACCACCCGGGGAAAGGAATAGAGTTCCTTACGTATGCTCCATCACAGTGAGCTTCGGCCGACAATGTCCATATTTGTAATTATACTATGTCGGTGATCTGACATACTTTTTAAACAAATGGAAGGGTATTATAACAATATGGAGTTTTCCTGAGAGGCGACCACGAAATCACACCCCAAATTCAAATATTCCACGTGGGCGATTAGGTGCCTTTGCCACGTGGACAGCGACGTGCGACGTTGACTCGGAGCGTGATTGGGTGACTCCGGTCTCGCAAGGCATTCGGTTCGATGCCTTCATCGCCCATCGTTTCGCTGCCACGTACTGGCTTCCGATATATTTGACAGAATCTATTCCGAACCGCCGACCACACGATGATCCAACGGAGGAACCGCAGTACCAAGGGCCGTTCGATCGGGCCGTCTCGACCGTTCGATGATGGTTCTCGGTCGGGGATCGGACGGTCCCGATTGGTCTCTGTAGCCGAAAGAGAAACAGAACTGGCGTGTCTCCTGGACGTCCGCCAGATGTTGATCGAATAGACAGAAACAGAGATCAGACAGTCCGAGAAGGTGGCCCCACCTCGAACGGGCTAGCCGACACGAACGACGGAAACGATTCCACCGGTCCGTTGTTATACCGGCGTTCGCCGGTCGCCGGCTGACGCCGTCACCACCGACCGTTAGCTGCAATATATAACCACTTCCCCGGCGCCTTCTTCCCCTCCAACTAGCTGCACCTTCTTTCTCCTCTTCCTCCTCCCCGGGCTGCCCTCCACCACAACCACCCGCCGGCAATTGTCACCGTCGAGGGGGGGCGTTCGTGGCGGACTGAATGGCGTTGTGTGAGAACCAGGCGTGGGGAGATGAAGCGGCGGAGAGTTTCCAGCGGAGCACGGCGGCGGCGGCGGCGTCGGAGTACCAGGGGATCATAGAGGGAATTCGCTCGGGGGACGAGAAGTGCAGGGTGGAGGCGGCGAAGGAGATCCGCCGGCTGACGAAGACGTCTTCGAAGCACCGGCGACAGCTATCTGGTGCAGTCGACCCGCTCGTCGAGATGCTCAGGTCCGGCAGCCTCGAGTGCAAGGAGTCTGCCTTGCTCGCCCTCCTCAACCTTGCTGTCATGGACGAGAGGTAGGCGGACCGAAGACTCCTCTCTCTCTTCTGATCCCGAATTTCACTGAATTAGCCTCAGCGTCTGATTCTGGTCGAGTTTTTCATTCGTCTCTTGAGCTCAACTCTCGCGGGTGTTTTCTGGTTCTGATGGAGGGATGTTCTTTCATCGGGATTCAACTCTTCGCGTAGCTTTTTTTCTAAAATTTTACTCATAATTCTTCCAAAACCTTTCACCACTTTTGATCATTCGTTCAGCCTTGCTTGTGAATTAGGCATCGGCGAGGGTATCCCTTTATTCCTCTGTACACCTTTCTTACGGACAAAGCAGGACACATCAGAATTATCTATAATTCTTTCCCTCCGTTCGTCTTCCCGATTAAAGATGCTAAGAACCACGTTGCTCTTTCCATCAGCCAAATCGTCGGTTGCGACGATGACGCTATGTGAATCTCTCTTCTTCTTCGACTCCGGCTTGCGGATCTACTGACTCGATCGTTTTGTTAGATATGATTTGATTCTGAATGAACTAGGGATTTCTGGCATCTATGGACGCCATCATAACCTTGGATTATCCAAATCTGCGAACAAATTGCGCTTCAATTGGCCACAAGAGCCTTTGGATTCATTCACGGGGCTTCTTCCTCACATCGGAATCCCACCTAATCATGTTGATCTATTGTTCCATCTTCGTTTTTCCTGGTGGTTAAAGGGGGGCCGAATGGGCGCCCATCCATCCTCAAAAGAAACGGAGAGAGTCCTGATCTTCGGCGATTCCCTCCTATCTCTGTCTGTGACTTTTAGCTTGACGGAGAAACGAATCCCTCAGCAAACCTCGCTGTTTTCCATTACACAGCAAACTAACTTCGAATCAGCCTCGTGCTGGCTGCGTGATGATGTCTCTATGCAGATGCCAAAAGGCCATACGTTCATCTTTTTATTGACTTTCCCACTTTCTTCCTTGTAACTATACCACTCACCTTCATCTATCATGGCTCAGATAAACCCGAGAGCGTTCCTTCTTCCTTTTGTTTTTTTCATGAGAAAAGGTTTAGCTTATGATATAAATGTGTAGATATCTGTAATCTCTTGAGTGGAGTTGGTGATGTTGAGGACCTTTTTTTTCACTCTATATGATTAGCATGGAACATTTTTTAAGGGGAAACTGGAAAACCATGTTTATCTCTCATAATTACCATTGAAATACCTTCTGTTCTTGAACAAACGAGTTCTTGAGAATTTGGGGGGAAAAAAAAATCCTGCAAATTTTGTGAAGGACTACCAAAACCAGGTACTGCGAACTCCGCCTGAGATTTGCCTGAGTGAGATGATTCCCCAGTAGATCCTTTATGTTACTGATGTTATTGATTCTCGTGTTATTTGGGTCAACGTCTCCAGTACATTTTTGAAGATCCCGAGCTGATAAATAATAAATATTCTCTAATTGGATACGGTTGACTTTGTCAGGAACAAGATCAAGATCGTGGATGCCGGCGCACTGGAACCACTCGTCGATTTCCTCCAATCTGCGAACACAGTCTTGAAGGAACACGCCGCGGCGGCGGTGCTCACCCTCACGGCCTCCGCCGTGAACAGGCCCTGCGTCGGCGCGGCGGGCGCCATCCCCTTGCTGGTGGAACTCCTCAGCGACGGCAACCCGCAGGCGGCGCTAGACGCCGCCATGGCCCTCACCAACCTCGCCACCGTGCCGGACAACCTCCGCGCCGTGCTCGCCGCGCGGCCCGTGCCCGCGCTGGTGGGCCTCCTCAGGGGTTGCAGGAAATCCTCCAAGATGGCGGACAAGTGCAGCGCCCTGCTGGAAGCCCTGCTGCGCTTCGAGGAGGCGCGGACGGCCCTCACTGCGGCGCACGGCGGCGTGCTGGCGGTGGTGGAGGTGCTCGAGGAAGGCAGCCTTCTGGGCAGGGAGCACGCGGTGGGGGGGCTTCTGATTCTGTGCGAAAGCGACAGGGACACCTACAGGGAGGCGATCCTCAACGAGGGCGCCATTCCCGGCCTGCTCGAGCTCACCGTGCAGGGCACGGCCAAGTCGCAGGCGAAGGCTCAGGTACTCCTGCAGCTACTGCGGGAGTCCCCCTACCGGAGGAGGAAGAGCGAGAAGTTCCAGCCGGAGACCTTTGAGAACATCGTCTGCAACATCGTGTCTCAGATCGACGGAGAAGTCCCCGGAGAGAAGGCGAAGAAGATGCTGGCTGAGATGGTGCAGGTCAGCATGCAGCAGAGCCTGCGGCATCTACAGCGCCGGGCCCTCATCTGCATCCCCCCGCCGTAGCTCACCCCCGCTCCCCCCCAAACGAAGAACCCTTCTTCCTTCCCCCCCCCCCCCCACTGTGAAGAGAGAGAGAGAGAGAGAAAGTATAGCAGTATAGGATGATGGATGCCAGTCCCGGCCATGACGGCAGAGGGCGACTGGTGACATGGTAGGGGGGGCTTTCTCCCTCAATCACAAACAAACAGTAAACTAAAGACAGAACCCTACGTTCATTAATATATGATTCGCTTCCGATTCTGGGTCTTAAAGAAGAGCTCCGGCGGCAGAGCGGCCAAGCCCGCAACATAAAAAAAGAGGTGTTTCATACGTTACTAGCTCTTATGTTCGGAGAAGGGAACAAATACCGGGAGTCCTTACAACAACTAATGAGAAGGAAGAAAGAGCACGGAAGAAGGTGACGGAGAAGAGACGACTGGCTGAGAGAGGGGAAATGAAAATGAACCCATCCATGGAATATGTCCGAGAACGACGATCGTCTGCCACAAAAAAAGAAAGGGTTTCTTCATTCACCACCCGCTCCAGCTCTCGTGGGCTTCGCAAGTTAGCAACTTTCCTAGGGCAATGCAGATCCGGGACTTTTCCACTGGCTCAGTATACAGAGGACCTCCAATGGCGGCTCGCTCGAGCTTTCCTTTTCTCCAACGGATCAAGACGGCACTGCGACGGAGTGGAGAGGAGGATCAGTCAGCAGATGAAACCTGGAAATCTCGTTTAGCCCACGTTAAGAGCGCAAGATTATAAACAAATACACTGTGAACAGGGCAACGTTAAAATCAGGGGAAACTATGCAATCTAGAGAGAGTGAAGCATATCAGAAAGCATCTCACTAAAAGACCGACGGTTGAATATTTCAAGATAATCCCTATTTAACAGCGCCAAAATTGTAGAAGCATATGGCAAACACAGCTCCATACAAATACGGGCATTGCTTGGCTTATGAACTTGAAAAAGGGAGCAAAATTAGCAGAAGTAGCAATTAATAAAAGACGACAGGCATAAGGAAAGATGACTGATGAAATTTGGCCCTGGGGATTGCAGAGTGTTCTCGCCTTCCTCTGGTAATTCCATCAAGCTTCTCTAATTCATGTGGATCAGCTTTACAACCTCAAAAGCAAACTACCACATGCCCCACCCCCAACCCACTTCCTCTAAAGGCTCACCTGAATGCACTGCTTTCCATCCCATTCACTAGTCATCCCTTTATCACAGACCTTTTATACGTCAAAACCAACTACAGACCACAATATAATACTTACCAATGTCCACTCATTAGTCAGCACCAAGGACCTAACATCCAACATTTATATATAGAGTTGGCTTATCTCTCATCAATTACTCTGCTTACTGAATCAAGAGATCCAGAGCACTAAAGATAATTGACTTTACCAAGAATATATGTTCCAGCAAGTGAATAGACAAGGAGTTGCTGCATGAAGCATGACCCAAGAAATCGCCGCAGCCATGTTTTTAGGGCGCTTCGGCATTCATATTAGTGGACCAGTCTCTCCTATGACAAGATATCCAAGAAATTTTAAGTCGAAATAATAGATCGAGGTTTCTCCTGGCAGTTAAGTTCACTTGCTGCACTCGAAAGGAAAGATAACGAATTCAATAAAGATTTGCACCATACAACATCAATAGATTAGCACATTATATGCATTCAATTGGATCTGAAAATATTGGAAAAATAAAACAAAAGAAACACCGCAATGCGCATCACAGTTTACCACGTCAACAACATAGAAACTGGCAAAACTATAACCTTGAAATCATCTAAACATATAAAGAAAGATAAACACTAAAAGTTACAACCAACCCCCATAGTGTGTTGTCGCAGTGGCAGCCACAATCATGCGGGACAGGAAAATATGAGAATAAAAAAAGTTGTGATAACTTACTGTAAGTAGAAGTGTCGATTTGCTCAGGCAGCTCCTTGATATCAACCTCAAATCTTTCTTGAACCTATTGGTTGGGAACGTTGGAAACTTAAACGACAAAACCTTGAAGGAATATCAACAAAATACAACATTATTTTGCAACAAACCTGATTAAGAATCGTAGAGTCAGATGCAGATGACACAAATGTGATAGCAAGACCCTTTGTCCCAAATCGACCGGCTCTACCAACCTGACAAGAAAACATTTGCAGTACTTCGTGATGTTTCAAACTCATAAAAGAAAATATCAGAACAGAACTGAGGACAAGTTGATGAGTAAATAATAATATTGAGTGACAGAAAATGTCCGCTACCTAGTATGTCATACGATATCAAAGAAAATCAAAACAAACACAGGTCATTAAAGCATCTCTAAATATGCAATCGAAAGAATTACCCTGTGCAGGTATGTATCTGCAGAATCTGGCATGTCATAGTTGATTACAATGTTGACACGCTCAATGTCAATCCCTCTGCCGACCAAATCAGTAGCAACAAGAATCCTTTTATGGCCCTCCTTGAAGTTTTTGTACTTGGTTAACCTGAACTTAAACAAAAAAAATTAAAGTAGGAGAAAAGTAATAGTTTTCAAAAAGCAAACAACCAGAAGGCATAATTTCCGAGAGTGATCAGAGGTTCTCTTCAAAATTTGAACAGATTGCAACAGCCATGCCTTCGATCTTATTCCGTACTGTAAGAAGAGAGCCATAAGAATAGCAGTAATAAAAAGATATCAAAGCATCGCCATTATTTTCTACCCTTGATTGGTCACGGCGAAACCAACCAAAGTGATGAAAATAATGTTCTCCATGATGACAATGGATTTTAAGGTTTATGCAACTACTTAAAACTACATTAAAAATGGTTAATGCTATCGTAACATAGCTTTTAGTATTTTAGTTTATCCAACGAAGTATTTGTGAAAAGCCAACATTTCTACTATAAGATGAATCATTCAAAAAAAAAAAAAAACCGCTATAACGCTTAGATGGATCTTGATAAAGTTATCAAGGTGTTAACCCGTCAATTTAAAAATTGGGCAATGGTTAATGAAAGAGTGAAGTTTCTACTGCAATTAAAGCGTTGTAATCGAAACCGTTTGTTAATTCCATGATATAACAACATGCAGTTTGTATAGAATTATTTTCAACAGCTGTAATAGTTGCTAGATGGTTACAATCTAAAAGGAGATAGGACTAGCCAAGGATTCTCAAATAAATCCCTAGCAGAGGAAATCAATGATAAATAATTCATTGATCTCATTGATTATATGTTAAAACTGGCACTTGGAAATAAATTGGAGGTCAGCATTAATTAATCCAAAAGATCATTTCAGTCTATAAAAGCTAATAAAAAACCATAAAGTTATTCCTACCTGTTAAAAAAGGAAAAAAACTTACTTTTTCTGAGACAATATTCATGTTCCTCCCCATGCACGAGGATTAAACAATGATTTTACAAGTCAACGAACTTACAAATAAAATTGAACATAGACAAGCTGTACACAACTGCTCTACCTTTCTTCTTGTGACATCCCAGAGTGAATGCAGATGGACGGAAAATTACATTCTATAAGTAGGGTATTAAGCTGTGCTGCTCTGCTGACACTTTTAACAAAGATAACCACTTGATTAAAGTCCAGAGCATCCAAAAGATCATTCAGCTTCCGATTTTTCTCATTCTCACTAAGTTTGATGTAGTGCTGCTCAGAAAAGACGTAAAGGATTACAAATAAATCAAAAAAAAAGACAATATGAATGGAAAAGTGTAGAAATGAAACATCACGAGTACCTGTACTAGACCATGAAGTGTCAACTTGGCCTCATCATCTACATAGATCTCCATGGGCTGAAATAGCAAAAATGTTAATCAGAGAAAGTTAGGAACTTCCCTCAAGATAACTACACTGTCCCACAAGAAAAACTCAAGATGAAATCCCACAAAATCCCCACATATTCTAATTAAAAATTACCGACGGCAAAAATGTTCAATCAAGCAGAGGATCATGCATGTTTATGCAACTACCAAAATGAAGTTTCAGACACGTTCTGAAACTCTAAACATAAAAAAAGGGGTGGGGGGGACAAAGCAAACCATGAACACCAGCATAGATACACTCCGAAAAAGGTATCATGTTCATAACTGATGCTCTAGATGGGCACCTAATATAACAGTACATAGAGTGAGAGGAACTGAGATCTCTAAGCGTGGCAGAATCAACTTCAGATAGCTGTACAAAATCTCCTTACTAGAGGAGATCGAAACCTAAATCTCAACAGTATAGGGTTGGTTGTCACTCTTTTGACACATTGTTCAGCTCTTCTTGTCTTTATGGGAGAGGTTATCACAATAGTGATGACATAACCATCACGGCAAATATGCTAGATATAACTCCCACAATATACATACTTATCAAACAATTGCTACAACATTTTCCAATGATCTGGGAAGAAGAATTTACATCTTGCATAAATTTCTTGCAAACAGGACGAATCTCTTTGCTGAGTGTCGCTGAAAACATCATAACTTGCTTATCATGAGGAGTCATCTTGAATATTTCTTGCACATCTCTCCTCATATCTAGAAACATGAAAAACACACAAAATAAAACAATGAGTCTACAGTAATCATCAGTTCAACGATAATGATCAGTGTTTAAATAACAAAACACATGATCCAGCTACACACTTGCATATGCAAGCACACATGAATGTGCGAGTATGCAAACGTAATTGAAAATACCACGTTTCAGCTTATACAAAGAGAAATCATCTTTCAATATAAATGAGATAATTGAATGTACCAAGTGCTTCCAGCATTTTGTCACACTCGTCGAGGATAAAATGTCTGACGTTCTTCAATACCAGATCCTTATCTCTGGCTAATGCAAGTATTCTTCCAGGAGTACCAACAACAATATGCGGACACTCATTTTTAAGTAGATCCTTGTGATTTTTAATGTGTACCCCACCATAAAAGACTGCAACTTTGACGTCTGGCAAGTACCTGGTGAATCTCTCAAATTCATGGCAGATCTGCAATAAACAACCAACTAATAAAAACCGATTGAACAATACAGCAATTAACAGCTGATAAAAAAGAAAGCAAAAAACAAAAAAACAAAAAACAAACCTGATAAGCTAGTTCTCTTGTGTGGCACAAAACAAGAGCAGCTACTTGACCAGAAACAGGCTCAATTTGCTGCAGAGTTGAGAGAACAAATACAGCGGTTTTCCCCATCCCAGATTTAGCTTGACAGATGACATCCATTCCCAAAATGGCCTGTGGGATGCATTCATGTTGTACTGATGGAGAATAAACAACGAAGTGGAGCAACCCTTAGTAAGCAAAGTGATCTTCTGGATCCTTCAATCCAGACGCATATGAAAATAATTACCCCCCTCCCTAAAATCAGTAACCTGCAAGTAGTGTATTACCTGAAATGAAATCAAATAATTAAGACGATACACAGAAAAAAATAAGCCAAAAATAATCAGGCAACATAATTAAATCAATGCAAAGAGATTTATGATTCATGAATTTGGCACGGCCATTAGTAAACCATGATAGTAGTAAATGCACCATATTTCTTGCATATGCCTTCTATGAGAATAGACTGAATTTCAATTCATATGCAGAAAAAAGGCCAAGGCATTGCAACATTTTTGTTGTTCCAAAAGAGATGAGCAGTAAATCATTGGCATTCAGAAATCATAGAAGACTAAGAAGTTGGTGAGGTAAAGAGAACTAGAAAAAATTAGGCACACTAAATAAATAAAGGTAAAAAAAAGAGACAGGATAGTTGCCCATTCCACAAGTCAAATGTAATTAATAGATACACTTGAAGGAAAAACAAATCTGCACTACAAAACAGCCATCTTCAGTAATAAAGGAAATGGAGTTCAACATCACGACAGAAAGGAAAAATAACCGAATCAGTAGTTATGAAGCATAAAAAATTAAAAAGAAAGTTGTCGATTCACTGTGTCACATTCAGGATGAACTAAAAAATTTCCTTGCCTTCTGAAGGATGCTCAAACCCCGAATCTACAATTGCCCGAAGAAGTTCTGGTTTTAAAAGGAAATCCCTGAATCCAGAGCTGTGAATTCCGACATAACCCCTACATATCAAAAAAAAAATCACGGTTAAAATGGCCTGAAAACTCATGAGTACAAATATGACTAGCCAGAAGACGAGAGAAGTATTAATCTTAAAAAGGGAAATAGCACGTGTTATGCTGCCAGGAAGAAACCAGACGATCAGAACAATGAGAGAGAATCTTCATCGCAAATGATAGACAACAGTCCATAAAAGACAGCATCATAATTATCAAAGTTCAAAACAGACGGGGAGGATCAAAAACGTGTCAACAGATTACAATACCAAGGTCATGTAAAAATAGTCAGTGAGTAAATCGAAACTTCCTGAGAACGGGAGTGATATATAAAAAGAAATCCACAATAAAAACCACAGAATAGTAGAAAAAAACACATGGAGTAGACGAAACCCATCAAATAGAATTCTTCATCCGTAATTGTATCACAGCCTATTAGTTTTTACTGCTCGTAACCAATTGTCTCATCCGCAACATCAACTAATTCGTTACGACCTAGACCACAATTTAGCGACTAAAGAGTGCCAATTTACTGGTCGATCCAATCCAGAGGACTCATACCCAATCACTCTCGTGATCGCGTTTGCAGCATACAACGAGATAACCGAAGGACAAATATACAACCTGCACGAATCTTACGAAGCAGAAGAATACCGCCAACCTGAAATTGTGCAATAATATACATGGGATTCCTCTACTCGTAGCCAACGAGTTCCATAACATTAATATAGTTTCCGACCGAAAACTTCATAAACCAGTCGAACAAGACTAACCGAAAAAAATCAAAAACTGATATTCAAGCAGGTTAAACATATTTATAAAACGGCAAACATGAGAAGCAGAAAGGATGTACAATGAACCCAAACTCCTGAAAGGATGCACACGTTCCATGGAAAGCAATTATATGTACACCTATAATCCAGAACGGACAAACGACCAAATAACAGTACAACAGGTAGACATACAAGAGATTAATTAACACAAAGCCTAATGGGACCAGAAGGATCAGGTCCCAGAACGATAATAGAAAGGACGACAAAGATGGGATGGAGTAAACTCACACATACAATGAAGTTCAAAAATCAAATAAATCAGATACAAATGGTTAGAGAGAACGAACCCAAGGAGATAAGACAGCCAAATGCATCCGTCCTTCACACATCACATTTACATCATTTTTCTCCTTCTAACCTTCGGCATGAACGTTAAATGTGAGATGGCATCCAACAGGGAAACCGTTACATCCCACTGTACCCTCAACTCTCTTAAAGAATGATGGGTGAATCTCTCGTGACTATGCCTAGACCCTGTCCACCACGGTCGCCTCTTAGCGTTGCAATGATATTGATTTCACTAATGTGCATGATACCCACCCCTCCACATCATCCAGCTCAAACTCGATTAACCATTACTTCCACTTCCATCCAACAGCATTATACCGGTAACAAAACATGAAACAATCACAAAACGTAGGAAAATATCGTGATTGGAGATTACAGACGTTTCGTCCTGCTGAGATCCCTCAAGAATATATAACGTTTCTTTTCTCAAATACATAACGTCATACAGGCGTTGTAAAGGAAATATTCTCGATAGCACAAACAGTAATACCATGGTTCTCTGTTGGACCTAGTTTCGGAATATCCTTGGTATCCATCCCTGATCCTACGCAACCTACTACATTCTCATCCTAAACCAACATAAGATTCCACAATGAGCATCTGAAAATGAGTTCCCCAATATCTCCGCTTCTCAATAACACCCTTCATCCCCCGTTCCCTCATCTGAAAATGAGCTTTCTTCAAGTCACGTTCCATCGAAATACCCAACTTACCTTAAAACAGTTTGTTACAAAGATATGACAGCAGAAAAAAAAACCAGATTAGAGCGTGAGAAATCTTGCGTATATACAGATATTTTCACAACGCAAAAGGAGCACGAGAAGAAAACCACACTTCACCGAGCGCTTCGGAAAATAACTTAACAAACCAGGAGAAGCAGAAGAAAAAAGCAGAAAGTCGCAGTCTTACTTCTTCGGTACTTCCCCGTTACCCTTGGCGGCAGCCGAATCGGGGGCCTTCTCTTCCTCCTCCTCATAGTCAAGAAGCTCCTCTTCGTAGGCATCGGCATCCTTGGCTTCCACCATCCTGCAACGAAACGCGAAACGGGCGAAACCATGATCCCACATCAAAGAACACAACGAGCGGCAAAAGAAAACAGGAAGAAGACCGGCATCCCCGAGCTGATCCCCACCTTCCGACTCCGAGCGACGAGAACCCGAGGGTTTCGATTCGAGCTCGCGACGTCTGCAGAAGAAAACCACAAAAGGGTAAACGGGAAAAAAAAACCCTAGATAAGGATCCCACGAGGGAGGCGAGAGCTTCGACTAGGGTTTTAGTTTTAGGCGAAGCCTCTCGTCGTCGCCACTACGGGACAAGGCGGTCACCGATACAAAGGTCGGGGAAATACTGGGCCTAATTACGGCCCAAAAGGAGGACCATTCCGCACAAATCATGGCCCTTTTATCGGACCTGGGTTGGGCCTTTTCCTCACCCCAAATAAATCCTGCTTAGTGGGCTTTGTATCCCAAAGTAGAAGATGGCCCACAACCATCTGGCCATTTTTAACTGTTTGAGGAAAAGTCTAAACCACCCCTCGTTGGTATCTTCTTCCTATATAATTTAATTAATTTTCAATATTTATATGAAAAACCGGCATATTGTTTTTTGGGGATTTAAATTGACCAAATCCAGATTTTTTTCAAATACAGCCTATATTTATACCGTTGAGGAAAAGACCAAACAACCCCTCATTGATATCAAGTCTCTTCCTGTATAATTCCAATAATTTACAATGCTTGTATGAAAATTAACACTTGCTTTAGGGGCTTTAAAATGATCAAATAAATATTTGGAAAAAAAAACACGCCTATAATTTAAATTATTGTAAGAAGAATTAATATATTTGTTTTGGGGGGGTTTAAAATTAACAAAATAAACGTTTTCCGCGTATTTTTTCGTCATTAAATTTATATGATGAAAATATAAGATTATAATATTTATCGGAAATTTAGGACCATAATGAGCGAAGGGCAAACGGACGGCGGCGGGCATGGTGCACCATCTTCCGCTTGAATGGCAGCCGTCGTGGGTAAAAGAGATGGCAGAGTGGGGGAAGCTTCTGAACGCAGAGAGCTCAGAGGAGAGATATGAATGGCAGAAGGATGGTGGTCGGAGCAGACGGTGACGGATGGAACAAAATCTTCCTCTTGTCAATAGAATCAGCTGATGGAACGGGGGATTGCATCACCCACGACGGTCATTCCCTACCGCCGCCCTTCTTCCTGCCGCCGCCGCCGCCGCTGCCGCCGGCGGCAGACACCCTGATCCTGGGGATCTACTCAGGGCCCAGGTGGGCTAGACAGAGAGAGAGAGAGAGAGAGGGGCCCTGTATATGTTCTTCTTCTCTGCGGCTTCTTGCCTGGAAAAGGGCGCAGTCCCCGACGTCTTCTGGAGAGTCGCTCCGTACTTTTACCAGGGCCTCCTCGTCTTCTTCCTCCCGACTCTCCTCTTATCCGTCTGGTAATCTTCTGACAGTAAGATGAAAAAGAAGCTGGGCTCCGTAGACCTGATCGGCGACGGTGATGGCGACGGCTGGTAGCAGACATCCGCCAGCTTCTTGCACCGGGAAGGGGGAGCCTACCCAAAGAGAGAGAGAAAGAGAGACGCAGAGAGGGAGTATGAAGCAATAGGTTGATTTACAGACAAGAGGTTCAAGATTTACAACCGGTGATGACAGCAGAGCACCACACTGGCGGAAAACTTCTCGCAGTCTTTCGACGACGCTGCAAGAACCCTAACCCTAAAGCGATGACACTGGGAGGTTGCAGAGAAGCGTTGTGAGGAAAACTATCTGCCTATCTGTTAGAGAAGAAAGAAGAAGAAGGCTATAGGTCAGCATGGTAAGGGGAATTGAGATCCGAGGATGGAGAATGCTCAGTAGGTATGGACGAAGAGGCCTGAGGACATAGCCATCAGGAGCATGGCCGCCTCCACTGCCTCCTTCCCGCAGGAGAGCTCCAACTTCCCGCTCTCCTCCATCAGCAACCAGAGCGTCTCCCACCGCCGCCGCAGCTTCTCCTCCTTCCTCAACTCAATTGATCGCGCGGATGACGAGGTCGTCGTCCTCGATGCCGTGGACGTCTTCCGGCCGCCGCCCCTGCCGTCAATTCGCTTATCAGCGGCCGCTGTCGACGGCGGCGCCGCGTATCTCTTCGTCTTCCGGTACCTAATTCCGCAAGCGTTGCAGAGAGACTACAGACAGAATCCATCGGAACAATATCCACGAAGAAGCAAGACAGATCCATAGCGATCGCAGGAAGAACTGAGATGATCACCTTTGGGCCGGCAGGTCCCCTTCTCCAGAGGGGGGTCCGGGAAGTCCCGCAGTCGGAGCAGACACTGAGAGACGACGCCATGTCTGGACAGACGCCTCGCTCAACCTTCCCCGCCATCTCTCCTTCCTCTGCTCCGGAACCTCCTCCAGCTTCCTGTAAGTGCCTCCCCTGCTTCCTCTTCCTGGAGTACCACAAACCAGCATCCCGCTTCACCCCCTCGCCGCACATCAACAGCTTACGACGGCGGGCTTTCTGGCAACGGCCGATGTGCCTGAGGCCGGCGCCGCCGCCGCCACCGCCGAATCCTTGACCGTGGGCATGGGAAGCCCTCACCCATGCCCTCGATGCCGTCAACATTCTGCTAACTCCTCTCCCTCTCTCTCTCTTCCCACTTCCAGCTCTCGACACTGCTTCTGCACTGTCCTGCTGGCAGAGGCGGAGTAAGAGGACGAGGAAGAGGAAGAGAGGGAAAGGCGTTTATGGCCCTCGTGCCCTGGGAAGAAGACGTTCTACTGTTCCGGCGGGAGTATTTTTCTTTGCGCTCCTCTTTAGGCGAAAAAAACTACAGCTGGCGCGATTTGCGCGGAGAAACTTGTTCGGAAAAGACACCAGAAGCCCTTGTCGCCTCTTTAATCGGTGTTCTTCTCTGAGGCACATGATTACAAGGGCGGCCTACCGTCCGATGGTAATCCGAGAGCCAGGAGGGCGTGATTGTCTGTCCCTCGACCATCGGCGGACGTGGCGAGAACTGGTGGGGCCTGGTGCGTGTCGGTGGCTATGCCCTGGAATGGCGGTGACACGATTTTCGGATTACAATTATTTTATTTTCCAGGGTGGACGAGTCCACAAAAATAACTACTCTCATTTTAGATTAAAAAAATAAATTATTTCATAATGTTAAACATCATCCGTTACCAATTTAATTAATATTTATAAAAATAAGGCATTTTAAAGCCAAAAAGTTATGGTATATTTTCATATTAAATTATCCGCTTCTTGGCTACGGGAAAAAATCCTCTGAACGGCGAATGTTAAAGCCGCCTCAAAATGGGTAAATATGTAAATTTTACCACGGAAAAAACTTCTGGAACCGCGGCACTAGGCCAGTAACGGACGTGACGGACCGTACGTCGGCGGACGGGGACAGACCTGACACGGCAACGACCGAGGAAAGCAGGCGGGGATCCGAAGGGGCCGTTGGGCGTCAGTGGGCCCGGCCATCAGTCGGTGTTGGTATTTTGATAGGCCCACTTTAGTTGACAGGCCCACTGGATGAGCTCAAACGGGCCAACAACAAGACTTATTTGAAAAGCAAACACTCCCCAGTGGGGCGGCGGCCCGTAATTTTTCAGCCACGTGTCCTCCTTTGTACCACCTACGCTTCACAGATATTTTAACATATATAAATAGATATATATAAGGAAAATGGTTAATAATAGCAGATTTATATTACTTAGGAAAAGCCATTATCTACAAAATCCCAAGCCTAAAAAAGCCCAGCCCAAGTAGGGCCAGGTTAAAGATCAGCCCATTAATTGGTATTGGGCCTCCTTAATTTCTGCCCCCCCCCCCCCTCTTCTATGGCCGCCGTCGTTGCTCTGGTCTTGGTCCATCGCCAGGCAGAAATCAAGCGGAGAGCTCTTCGGCGGCGGGAGAAGGAGCTTACAGAGAGGAGAGGATGGTGGGATCGCTGGACATTTCCTCCTCTGTGATCTCCTCCTCAGTGGGCGGTTCTTTGCCTCGCTCTGCCGTCCCGCGGGAGGTGGTCCTTTGGGTCGACTCTTCGGCCGAGGAGATCTACCTCGCAGCGACTTCTCTTGGGGCACCGGTCAAAGCTCCCCGGCTCCTGATGCCCCCATTGGGGGACGGCGTCGGCGGAGTTGAATCCCCCCGCCATGTCGAAGAGCATCTGCTGGAGCTCCTCGAGACTGTAAATCTTCTGCTGCGATGGAGAGAGACGGCAACGAGGTTTCAATACGAGGTGTTGTTCTAAGATGTAAGAAGGGCATCGAGGGAACTGGAAGGGTACCTGTCTCCTCACGTTGGACATGAGATCAACCATTTCCTGAACGAATCCGGCGAATCCCTGTTTCCGGGAACAGGAAGAAAGCAAAGGTCAGGGAAATGATTTCGGTAATGTAATGTGGCCTCCAAAAAAGATTCCACATCTGCTAGGAATTCACGGAGAGCGTCCGTCCATAGAAGGGGATCGATCCACCGTCTCTGTGAAGGGAGGCGAACAGGCATATACGGTCGCAGACAGGCGAAATGTGAGGGAAGGGAAGGGGATTATAACCTCGACCTCCTCCTGGCCGCAGCCATCGTCGTCGTTCTCGGGGTTGAATAGACCGGCATCATATAGTAATCTTTTCCTCTCATCCGACAACACTGTCGATCACAAAAGACGGGGCAAAATGTCTCGGTAAGATTTGCAGAGAGATCAACACAAATCAACCAATTGTCCCTACGGATGCGCCTTAATTGTACGATCTCGATGCAAGAAAAGGATCCTTGGGGTTTAATTACCTTGATAAGCCTCCAGTATCTTCTGGAACCTCCTCTTGGCTTCTCCCCTCGCCGATGTCTCTCTCCCCTCCCTACCCGCCCACCTGTCAGGATGCCACTTCTGCGATGTTTACCCCATTCAATGAAGGTTAGGAGAAAATCGCCATGACTGGATCATTTCGCCGACGCGGATCGCCAGCCGAAATGCGCGGAGGAGACGAGGAAAGGACGGGTCGCGACGCTTACCAAGGCGAGCCTACGGTAGGCGCTGCGGACGTCGGCGGAGGACGAATCTCGGCGGATTCCAAGCACGGTGTAGTAGTCACCCAAGCTTTCCCGAACTCCTCTCTCCTCCATTCCTCTGCTCCCGAGGACGAAGATCTTCCCTGCAGGAAGAGGATGAAGAGTTGAAACATCTTACCAGCAGAAGAATTGAGAACATTCCAGACCACTCCCGCCGAGGCTTCTAGCTCCACCTCCCTCCTCCAGACAAACCAGTTACACTGACGAAAATAGCCCTCAGCAGGCGTCTAACGGAAGAGCGCTCAGCCGTGGCTTTGTCGTAGTTATTACCATTGACGGAGGCATTTTTTCGAGCATTGCCGAGATGTATTTTTCATGGGCTATCCCATTTGACTTTCAATTACAGTCAACCCACGTAATCACCACCGATTTAATTAATATTTTTCGAAAATATCTAATTATTTATATTTAAATCGATATTTACACTCCATGACCACCAGATAAATACCCCGATCACCTTCTATTCCTCCTCTTCCTCGTTTCACTCGGCATGCAGGTCGACAGAAAGAAAGGAGGAGAGAGACAGACAGACAGATGGGGTGCAGTCCAATGAGCATGCTGAAGTCCATGGCGTTCGCCAAGGGAGAGGGTAAGCACAGTAACTTCAGTCTTCTTCCTCTTCGGCTCCTACTGATGACCCACGCGTTGACTTCGCCTGAAAGGAAGGGGGAGGAGATCAGAGAAGCACCACCATGAGAGAACGGGAGGCCGAATGTGCTCGCCGCCGCCGCAGAAGCTCGTCGGCGACTCCACCGTGAGGTCCGTGGTTTACCGCGACGAGAGCCGCCGTCATTCTTGCGCGGCGGCCGACGACATCCTTCCCTCGTTCCACGCCAGCGCGGCGGCGGAGCGAGACGTTGCGGCACCGGCGACGGAGTGGCGCCACCAAGCTTACCCGTACGCCGTCTCGCCGGTCCCATCCGCCGCGTGGGTGGAGCACCGGTACTGCTCCCCGACGGCGGCGGCGCCGCCGGAGAGGATCGACGGCGCAGCCACGGACGTCGGCGGCCTGACGACCATATTCAGCGACGAGAACCCCAACGCCTGCCGTATCGTCTGAAGGTCGCCGCCGGCGGGCCACGCCGGCGCCGGCTTTCGGTCTTTGATACCTTTTATTCTAATTTCGAATAAAAAAAAAAATGTTGCCGGAAGGGTCTTCTGTCTTTCCCGATCACTTTCCCCTTTATTCCCCGACCAGAATCCAATCCCCTTGCCAGCCTGTGGAGACCGCCCCTTGGAACGACTTCTCCGAAAATCAGATTCTCCCGAATCTCCAGTTATTTATTTTCAACATTTCCAGTCCGTAATGGGCCGACCCGTGGAAACTCAGATGGGCATGCTATTGTGAGGCCCATTTAACCTGGTTTGAGAGAGAGAGAGAGAGAGAGAGAGAGAGCTAGAGAGAGAAAATCAGATTCTCCCGAATTGTCTAATATCGGCATTCCCAATCCCTAATGGGCCGGCGCGTGGAAAACTTGGCATCTAATAGGAGAGAGAGAGAGCTAGAGAGAGAGAGAGAGAGAGGTGGGAGAGTGGAGGGAAGTTGAAGTGGAGGTGGGGGGAAGCTCCATATCCAGGAAGGAGAGGTGACGTACGATCCTCAGACGGGGAGGGTCATCACGGGATTCTGGCCGTGGGACTCCGCCCTCCACCTAGCCCACTGGATGGCCGCCGCCGGCGCGGCCGCCGGCGAGCTCTCCGGCAGGACCGTCCTCGAGCTCGGTGCCTCCCTCGTCGTCCTCACCGCCGCCCTCCTCGGCGCCTCCCTCGCCGTCCTCACCGACCTCCCGCCGCTCCTCCCCGTCCTCCGCGTCAACGCCGCCGCCAACGGCGTTGCAGACCGCGTGCAGGTGCGGGAGCTGGTTTGGGGATCCGCCGCCGGTGCATCGCCGGAGGAGACCGCCGACGTGGTCCTCCTCTCCGACGTGTTCTACGACCCAGCGGCGATGGCGCCACTAGCGAGCACTCTCAGGACGGTTTGCAGGGAGGAGACCCGGATATGGGCGGCGAGCGAGGTGAGGGAATCGATCTACAGTTGCCCGGATTTGTTGAAGGAGGAGGGTTGCCGAAGGTCGGAGTTGCCGGCTGTGAACCGGCGGCTGCTTCGCTCGCCGGAGGAGAGCTCGGAGTTCGCCGTCTTCATCATCTCCCCACCCGCTCCCCGAGGAGAAGGGGCGAGTGACCATAAGGTGCCCGCTAAAATGCCACAATTAAAGTCAACTTAACTGGGTTGACAAGTGACCAAAACTCGGACTAATTCACTCGGCTGCGTTGAGTCGGTCAACGGCGGCTCTCATCTTGGATTATCCACGGTAAGCAGTCAACTTTAATGATCAGCATGTCACTAGGACCCGGTTTGATCAGAACAATAATCACATCGTTGACTTACATAAAAAGTATGTGAAATAATTTGTGATTACATAGCATTTATAGGCTGAACGATTTGAAGGATTAAGCTTTTATTTCCTTAATCTGGCCAGGAATTTAGTAATAAAGAGTTTAATCATAGGAGGGTTCTTCTTCTTATTCTCTCTCTTTATAATGATTTTTTAAAATATTTTAACCAAATAAAAAACTCTAATTATTGCCTTTTATAGCATCTAGAGCAGGTATGTTGGCGAGAGCTTAATAGTACTAAATATTGATATTATATTTTAAAAAATACTGCATTATTTTGTTAGTACCATTGAGAAGAAATTTACCAACTCCATTATCTTCTAGAGAGAGAGAATAAACTCCCAAGAAATATACATCAAATTATTTTCCAGCAACAAAATTTATGATTCTTAACACTATTAAGGTAAGAAAACAGAGTTAATGTGTTTGATTCATTACACTTTTTTTGGAAAAATTATATTTTTTATCTAAACTTTCCCATATTTCCAAAGCTAAAACAACAATAAAGAGCAATCTGATATCTCACTTTTTACTTTGATGAAAACTCTCCAAATTTCTAGTTGGATGTGCTAATTAACATACACTAATGAATTAATGTATAAATAGATAAATGGACTCTCCAAATTCACACCATATTTTATATCATTGTTCATGAACACAGACAGCCAATACCAACTCAATTATGTCAAGATCACTATATATGTGGTTTAAAGGCTAAATTTGGAGCCTAAAGTGGATGTCTTTGCAATAAATGCATGCATTATTTTTGTATCATCTTTTATGATACTATAATTAACACCTTATGACTCTAAGTGATGTTCGTGATTATGATCAATGTTTGAGTCAGGGCTAGCCACATACATGTGAGATATGTGTTCATATTGTAAGAAAAAAAATTTAGAGACTATGACATTTCATATGGTTGGGGGCCAAATGTTTGTTTATTTCTATGGTTGCTGAACATGGCTTGACCTTAGGGACCTTGTTGAAACAAATGTCACCCTACCCTTAGTTAGGTGATTGACCCTTCAAGCATAATGTCTGTCATGTCATGTCATGTCATGTCAAATATGGTAGATGTTGATTTAATTAAAGCTATCAATTTTTGTAATTTTCAATATAACGGTTCGAATTTAAGTGGGTTATATATACTTTAATTGGTATATAAAGATTGGGGGTCCACATTTGTCTAATCAAGCTAATATATATAGTCCGATTTTTATAGGGTCCATTATGTGACTTTAGACTCCATCTCTCTCCTCATGGGTCTGCTAGTGATCAGCCTCTCTCTCTCTCTCTAGAGTAGGCACTTGTGGAGGGTCAGTCTTGATCTTCAAAGGGGACCATGTCAAGGGCGGTTTAGCGGGCTATTCTTTGGGCCTAGTGAGAGAATGATAGACTGCGGTTGATGTGGGAAAGGGCCCGCCATTGTTGGCCCACTGAAACCCTCCACCCCATAAATGTATTATTTTCCTCTATGATATTCATTATAATATTATTATGATAAAAAGAGCGGAATTCCCCATCTGTCCTCGCAGAGTTCAATGGTGTCCACGCATCAAGCGTTGGGATCTCCGCCAAAGAGGCCACGTGGAGAATGACCCCACCGCCCGTTGACATACGGCGTGGACTTTTCTGATATCTTCAGGGAAGATGAGACTTTCTTCGGCAATGATCTCTAGAGATACATCCTCTCTCTCACCTCCTCCGCCCGCGGTGCCGTGCCCCGTCCCGTCTCCTCTCCGAAAAGTCACGCCCGATCGCGCCGCCGATGGGTCCCCCGCTCGTCACCGAGGGGGCGGGGGGCGGCGGCAGCGCCTCGTTTCCGGCGGCGCTTCGTGGTGGCGATGGCGACGGCCTCAGTAAAAGTGATGTAGTTAAATCAGCCGTCATTTTTCTTGCCGGGGCCTGTGATGAGAGCCATCGGCAATGCCCGCTGGACATCCTTCGTCAACGCCCTCCTCTCTCTCTCTCTCTCTCTCTCTCTAACTCTCTTAAATAGAGAGATGGACAGTCGCGTGCGGACAGAAGGAGAGAAGTGGGAGCTGGGGCATCCATGGCGAATGGGATAGTCCGCTCGGTGTCCGCTTTTGTGGCGGCCTGCAACAAGAAGGTGGTCCGCATCTCAAAGAAGCTCCGTGGGGAAGAAGGCGAGAGCTCCAACGGCGAGGGAACGGCAGCCTGGCGGAGCAAGACTGAGGAGGAGGGGAAGAGGTGGAGCGGAGAGGCCTGTTTGTCGCCCTATTTTGCATGGAGCGGCGGCCTGAGGAAGACGGAGGAGGAGAGGAGGCGGAAAGCGGAAGCATGCCTGTCGCCGTATCTTGCATGGAGCGGCGACAGGAGGAGCAAGAAGGAGGAGGGGATGTGGAACGGGTCGCCGGCGAAGAAGGTGAGGAAGAGGCGCTGCGACGGCGGCGGCGATGGGCTGTGGCGGAGGACGATATTGCTCGGGGACAAGTGTCGGCCACTGGATTTTGAGGGAGTGATCCACTACGACGGCGAGGGGAGGCTGCTGGTGGTGCCACCACGTTCGCCCCTGCGGAGCCCGCTGCCGACCTTCCAGCTTCCGTCCGCCGTCTCTTCCGGCAACGACGGAAAATACTAGTTTCCCCAGTCTCTCTTTCTCTCTCTCTCTCTCTCTCTCTCACACACACACACACACACACGCTCTCTCTGTCTCTATACCGGCGACCTTCCATCACCATAGCTCGGGTGATGAGAGCACGCGTGCAAGGGGCGTGGAGTTTTCACCAGGCTAATTGCACTCATGCGTCGCTTTTCATGACCACTTGCAGCCGCCTTTGCTCACGACCATCCATGGAATGGTTGCTTGTGCTTTTTTTAAATTAAAAATACGAGACCATGTCGGGTAAGCATTTGTTCTCTCTCTCTAGAATAGCACAACGTAGACTGTAATAGATGATCTACAGAATGTTTGGGAGCTATTAGAATATTATATGAAATCGTCGTGGATGACTTCAACAACAGTCCAATCGGCGCTTTCTTATCTCTAGGCTAAACGATGACAGGGTGTTCTTAGAATATTTAGATCAAATATTCAGTTGCAGACTAAACAATGGTCCTGTCCGCTTTCACTCTTTCTCTCTCTCTCTCTCTCTCTCCCTCTCTCCCTATAATAGCAAAGCGCACGCTATCAATGATAATCTAGAAGGGTGTTTGCGTGGATTACTAGGAACCAGCAGATCAAATCTTCTCCAACGCCCACTCTCTCTCTCTCTCTCTCCAGAACAGCACATCTCACGCTGCAATCGATGATCTAGCAGAATGTTCAAGGGACTCATTTAGAATACTAGATCAAATCCTTATTGAACGAATTTAGAAGCTCCATGTCCTCTCTCTCTCTCTCTCTCTCTCTCTAGAATAACAGCTCAGGAGATATTGATGACCCAACAGCTCAGGACGTTGAGTAAAGTATCTGATCAGTTCTTTTAATCCCCCCATATAAAACCTGATCGGCAGCCGAATTAAAGGTTGACCGACAAGAAACCAAACGAAGGATGAGAGAAAGAGAGATGATTTTTTTACTAACTTTATATAAAACATGGTAGTAGCCACATAAATAAACCCCTCACCCATGCGGAGAATAACGTTAATAATAATAATAATAATAACTATCAAGGATCAGCTCGGTCAACCAACGAGATCAGCCGGGTGGAGAAGATAAATTCCGAGTCCTGGGATTTTCCGAAAATCTCTGCTTCGTCTCCAGCGTAATCAGCAGTGATCTAGCCACTTGATAAACTTCGTGGGGAATACTTATTCACCTGGTTAGTGAGAGAAAACTCGTCAGAAAAATAATTATATCAATGAAAAAAAAACAACAGACAGTAAAACATATGGCCCCATCCAAGAACAGAAAAAAGTCAACGCGTAGAGGATAGTACACAGCAGAAGGCGCAGCCTGGGCCTCAGTAGATGCTTTCTTGGACTTGTGTTTCGATCTTTTCTCCCGTTTCTTCCTGTAAAAAAAAAGACGCATTTCAGGATCTCATTTAACGCTGCATTTCCCATGCTTTAAAACCCAAGAACCCTAAAACCATGCATAACGCATGATTTAGAGAATGAGAGTTACTCGTCTAGAGAGCCCGGATCTAAGCAGCTCTTCAGCTTCCGATCGATGTGCTTCATATCGTGAGCTGTGGGGATCCGGAGCTTGTCCACCTGCAGAGCGGAACAGCTGATGGATTTCTAAATCTGCTCCTTGGCCTCGATCAACGCCTCAATTAATCGCTATATTTCCGTTGGATAAATATCTTTTTTCACGACAAAATATAGGTGGAATAAAACGGATAAATAAATGCTTGTGAGGCGAGATCGGGCATACCAGGGCATTAATGGTCTTGACGGATTCGATGAGCTCCCCAGCGCCGGTCAGAGAGCTCCGGCGGGACATCAGGCTGTCCAAATAACTGAAAATACAACTGGTCAACGCAGAGCTCAAGAAAAAAAGGAGAGGGGAGTAAAAAAGGGAGAGGGGAGTAGCGGGGTCAACGACCTTTCGAAATTGAGAGCTCTGTGCGTCTCGTTTGACTTGTACAGGGCCGCCAACGCCAACTACAGATGACAAAGTGATGGAATCCCAAGTCAACGGCAGCTCGAGACATTGGAAGACAAACCCAGTACCCAAGTAGGCGGATCAAGTCTTAACGAGGAAAAACCATCAAGAAGAAGCTGAAGATCCCATGAACAGGAGATTAATGCACTGCTATGCAATCCAGGTGGTCGACATGCAGGGAAATAACGGATCATGGTGCTCCCACCATCGATTTTATGAAGGTTTAAGAGTATATATAAGACATTAATCTCATGGGGGAGGGAAGTCAACCTGGTTAATACCGGAAAAAAATGCCCAAAAGAAGAAACTTTGCGCTCAGTTTGGCTACTGAACAAGAAGATTAAAGGTCAGAAATCATCCTATTTTTGTCGGTAAAGCAGGCCCTTGTTGGTCCTCCACCTGCTCCTCTCTTCTTCAGTGACGAACAGGTCAAGATCTCCAGTGCTTCCCCACCCACCGAAATCATACAGTCCAAGTGATATTGGGTGATTTTTCACAGTAATATAGTTCTGCTTTTATTTGGTATACTATGCACAGCATGCCGAATCCACGATCTTACGATAAAAGATAATGTAGAAAGCATTAAACAGAAGAGGAATACCAGCCCAGGAGGGAAGAGAAGCGGGGCGTCAGTCAGCATAGTCAAGTCTGTCTCCGATATAGCTGTATCTCTCAAGTCCTAATGATGGAGCAGATAAGTTAGTAACTCGCTCATAGATCTAATATGTGGTACAGTTCGGGTATTGAAAAGGAAATAAAATTATCATCAAGATGGAAAAATGGGTTGGAACACCATAACCATCTTTGTTTCCTCACTAGAGATCCCGAACAAGCTTCCTCACTTCTTTGTTTACAACGAAAAATGCATGCTGGGCTCGTTCTAATCACAAATCATCGTGGTGCAACATGAACTTGATCCCCCCAATTTACTGCATTCAACTGATTTTGAGGGGATTTTTTTTTTACTAACAAACGACATAAAATATTATAAATTTACCAAGATAAAGTGCAGGAAATGAGATCATATTTTACACTATTTTTGTCAAAACATCATATCATCCCCCTCGGTACTTAAGATGGGGAAAAAGAAGACGAAGACCTCCTCAGATCATATTAACCTTTTCAAAACGCACTTGCTCTTTGCCTATTCGGATGCACCACCAACAGATGATCATGCACAACTTCCTACATACGGATCCAATTTCACCAAGGCATCTAGAAATACAAACTAAAATAATTAAATATTGGTTCAGATATTATAAGGTTATGGTAAACAAAATCAAATCATAGCGTAGAGAACATTCACAAAAGTTGCTTTTAATTCTATGATCATCCTAAAGTATTGCAAGCTGGGTACCACCTCATTACCATGAGCATGCAGAAAGAATACCATAAGGCTCTAAGTATTACCTTAAACGTTTGTTGTTGATCATTACCTGCTCGACAGAAGTCCTAAAAAGCCAGCATCAAGAGAAACGAAAAAGATGAGCGTAAGGCAATGGAATCAAAGTTAGTCCTCACAGCCAAAGTGAATTCTCACCTCCATGTCAACAACAAAGCCCTCAATGGATCGATATGGAGCATAGACAATGAGATCAAACCCCAAGCCCTACAAAAAAACATAAACAATGATACAAACGAAAAATTATCCAAAAGCAACGAAACGTTTTGTTATGTGCGGAATTAACTCACCTGAAAAACGATCATTTCATTGTTCAGAATCACATGATGATCTTGTTCAATCCCCTTACCAAGCTCCTCTGCAGAGACGTGGCTTTCTTCAATCTTGCAGGATGCATAGATGCAAGTTAGCCTGTGGATTGAAAATAGATTTCCTCCTATTCAGATGAGCGATTGAAATTTTCTTTTCCCCATGTACTAGATAAAGATTAAAATCAAGCTAATTATGAGGGGGAAACAACCCAAAAGTGGTTATCCACATAGATGTATTAAAACATTGCAAGCATAGTTAAGAGAGGATTAAACATACTTTAGAGGAAACATAGGGCTAGCAAGGACGTTTGCTAAGGAAAAATAAATCGTGATGTGAAACTTCACTATTTTCTGTTGTGAAGCAGACTAGAATGAGCCGATCCTTTCTCTTAAAACGCCAAAGCACTCGTGTTCTTTCCTTGCTTTTTCGTCAGTAAACTTTTCCACATAATGGCAGGAGAAATTGCATTAGTGGCAGGATAAATTGGGTAACTCCAGGTTAGACTGGCACTAGCAATCAGGATTGATCCTACGGTTTCAATTTTATTTTTTTTCCCAAAATCCAAGCAAAAAAAATGAACTCTTATTTTTCAAATTAACCTGGTATTAATTTGGTTACACAATTCTCAACCAAAACTTACCTTCTGAAATGTTTTAGAGCTATTGCCTTATCCTTCTCATAAAATACTAGAAATATATCTTATTAAAGTTCTTTGGTCAAAACATAAAAACGTACAGGAACAAAAACACAGAACATTATTTACTCAAAATAAGATTTAGTCAAAACAATTAAGTTAAACAATGTGCCAATAAAAAACAGATAGATATGGATCCAAGGGATGAAGATAAGAGACCTGACTTGGCTGGATAAAAGGATATAATGGTGTATTGCTTTTGAGCACAGGTGGAGAAGAATATCACAAAAATTTATTTCCAGAGACCAAAGTTGTTAGGTTGTTTACTGTTTCGATAAATAAAAAACGATAAACTTCATCACTGTAGATACGACTGATGCAGATTATAAAGCTCATCATCGAGATGAATATAGAAAACGAAACCCATCACAGCATACATTATGTGCTTCGGGTGATGCTCCATCACAGACCATTGCAAATAAAACCTTTTGAAGTATATGATCGCTGTTGCCTGTGCAATATAAAAAGAACTCATTATCAGAAATTTTCTTATTTGCATATCAGCTGGCATTGGATTCTATCAAAATAAAAAACTGCACACCTGAATTTTGTGTGGAAATTTAAATGCTGCACAAACTTCTTGAATCTTGTGCTCATAAAATATCCGCATAAGTTGCTCCTCTTCACAGTTCAGTGGCTTTGAACGCGAATGGCGTCCACCTAAGTGCATAAAACTTCAGTGTCAACATTGAAGAACAAAGTAAAATCAATAAAGGGGAGTTACAAAACATATAACCAAACAAAAAAGTAGAAACGCATTGACATAGAAAAAGAGTATATCCTTAAGAGTTTTAAAGACACTGACATGAGGAATCAGAGAAGGGCATAGGCTTACCATTTTCTTTAGAATCAGTTTTTGTTGTGTGTGACAATGACCCATCGGTGCCTTCTTCTGACCGTCTGACTCCATGCTATAGAAAGTATCATCTATGGAAGATTAATGCAAAATAAAATAAAAAATGAATGCAGATGGGAAAAAAATAAAAATGCAATTAAACAACTCGTGCGTTGGAAGAGCATTCTAAGAGCATTACAAGCACGGAAAGCCGATGTATTGAAGTGTAATATTTTTTGGAGAGCTTCTTGGCGACAAGGCTAAGACCTTCAAAAGAAAAGTCGCAAGTTTCTGGTGCTTATAACTCACTTTATATCTCATTGAAAGACAATAGGAAAATTCAGCTAGATCAAACATCATGTTAATCCCAAAATAAGGAAGAAGTGTCCATGATGAAATGCCAGAGATTCAAAATCGAACCGGGCAATCTCCAGATAATATCATCTATACCCAGGGAAGTGAATGGACAGTTGACTCCTTTGTTTGTCCAGATAATCAAAAGAATGCTTGTTTTGACTTGGGGGATGGTACATTATAAAGTTTCTGATGCGGGGAACATTACGTGATAAAAATTTCGGGCAAATCCTTTCACCCTGGGGCAGAACGAAGGCATACCTGTTCAAGTCCCCTTTTTGCTCGGTCATTCGCAACTGCGTACTTCTCCACCTACGATTATCATCGAAAAGGAATTTAATTAAATTTATAAGATGTAGACACCAACAGTTTTGATATGATAATCGAGCAAAGGTTATTCTCGTTTCCATTTCCCCTTTTCTAATGCTGTTCATACTCGAGAGACAAAAATTGCACAAATCAAATGCAAGAAAGCATAAGCAGTGTCACAATATCCGAGCACGATCGGCGTTCAAAGGCGCAAAGAAGTAGCCATGTCGTTAGTGAGTCGATAACTATCAGTTCATAATATCCTCCACAGTGTTGCAACATGTCAGCGCCATTTGGTACTATATAGATTAAGTCATGACCATTAGCCATTCCATGTCACCAATAGATAGGATGACCAGCAATCATTATGGGATCCCCCCGCAGTTTTAGACATACGACGGCCCCGACACCCAACCCCTTCACTTCCTCTAAGCTAATTTTCCACGGAAGCAAAGATAAACGAATCATCCTACAAAAGGCGCACCCTGTAGTTCTCTTTGAATGGAACCAAGCCATGTGAGCGGCATGAGGGTGAAAGGGGTGAATACGGAGAAATCTTAGGAAGAGGAGAGCTTACCAGGTCCTGAGGAGTAAAAATCCACTTGGCACGGTGAGTCGACGTCTGGAAATCAGCCATCGCGACGCGATCGATGCAACTCGATTCACCCTGGAGATGGAGAGAGACGCAGGAAGGAGAAAGTCGGGGCAGCGGAGAAGGCTCATCGGGCTGCTTTGGGCGGCCGGAAAATCTACATAAATATGTTATTTACCTTTCTTTCCCCTACAATCCCTAACAATCTCCATCTATTTCAAATATAACCTCATCAAAGTTTTATTTATAAAAATAAAAAAACTTTCATAACAGTGCGCTTGTATCCTTTCCCGCTCGAAGTACCGAATTTCTCACTTATCTAATATAAAATAATCTATGTATTGATGACGTGTACCAATCCTGGTGACGTGTTTTTTTTGGTCCTCGTCGTCTCCCTCCGGCGGATTTTAAAGAATTCCCTCTGCTCGTCGCTCTCTCTGCGCACTGCTTGGCCGCTCCGTTCTCATGGCCAACCTCTGATTGTGGCTGTTTCAGCCCGATTTCTCGGGTCTGTCTCGAGAGAATTCTGATCGCCCCACGCTCCCTTCAAGTCCAGCGCCGGCAGATTCTCTTGCTGTTGCCTTTCTCTTTCTGCGGAGGGAGATCATTCGGGAGTAAGGAGGCGTATCCTTCGATGTCAGAGGAGCTGGGCGGCGCAAAGAAACGTGTAGTGTTTGAAAGAAGAAACAGAAGACGAATAAGAAGAAGAAGGAGGAGGTCAACGAGACGCAGATCCTCGTTTATTTATTACATTATTTATTCGTCTTTTATTATATTATTTAAAGCCTTCGATTTTAATTTTCTACGCTTTGGAATTTTCAGCTGGATGATGAACATAATGCGATCAAGTTCTTTTTATTTCCTTCTTGGGACAAGGTTATATATTGGACGACTGGCGGAAGATTAGCAAACTTAAGAAAGAAAATAAAATACCTCAATTTGCAGAAGAAATGAGTTAGGTTCAGCGCTAGAAATAAAAGTCTTCTCATCATTTATAGACTTGCAACATTAGAAACCACCTTTCATGCCTTGCATACGAGTAAACTAATATTCTGAAGCACTTCACGAATTTGACAAACATTCTCAAAATTTATACAAAATTATATTTTCTTTCACTCTTCACCTTTCACTCACATTCCACGCTTCTTATGCATATCACCATTAACACGCACACCTCTTTTTCGATATCATTGAGTACGAATTTCTTGTTCAGGACACAAACCAAAAACACTAAGATTTTGTCACATTTAGTATTATTTCAATCCTTAGTTTGCAGATTTGTCAAACTGCAGGCCAGAACGGAGACTGCCGACCCAATGCTTCCAAAAGAATTTGAAGCAGCTTTGAAAGATTTTCAAAAGGCTCACTTAGCTCCCATGTAGTTCTGCCATTGAGGAACTTTCGCATTATTTACATCGCTTGATTGGTCGTATCTGAAAATCTGTCCAATTGCTACAAAAGCTGGAAGAGAGAATCGACTGGTGGAAGCTTCCTCGTCTGTGATGAATGCTGAGATCCAGATAATGATGAGATGGACGACAAAAAGTCAATAGACGAATTTGCTTTGTCTGTCGGTGAAGATTTGTCTGATCCGTAAGATCCAGTGAGTTGGTGGAATATGATGACAGTTGGAGGCTGTACGATGGGAATTTTTGTGAAGAATACAATCTTGGGAAGGTACATGATGTTGGTCTCTCATACGTGGACAGAGAGAAGAGAAAGAGAGAGAAAGAGAGAGAAAGAGAGAGAAAGAGTGAGAGAGAGAGAGTTTATCTCTCTCCTCCCTCTTTTCCATTTTACCTTTTCCTTATTTTTCTCAAATAATTTTGGGGGAATGGGAGAGAGGCGTGGGTAAAGTGAGGTGATATTTCTTTTGAGTGCTTTGGGAAACTTCTTCCTCTATTTTCGCATTCTTGTCTGTGAAGAACGTGTGGCTAGTTGGTGCATCATTCTGTAGTCATTCTGAACCACACTTTGTTGTCCGAAAAGGCTATCTGAGGGGGACCATTGGAAGGAGGAAGTGACATAACTGGGGATGCTCGTCTTGGGCAAGAGATCCACTAAGTGCGAGCAAGGTTCTCTTCTCTCTTGTACTATTTTCTATCTAGCTAGATCTCTCTAGCTATCCTCGTGGATGTAGGAGGATCCTTCTGAATCACATAAGTCCTAGTGACATCATCTTCTCCTACTCTGTCATATTTCTCTCTCTTCTATATACGGTTGTCATTCTTTTGGCACGTACATGGTAGATAACATGATTCGCGATCCGACTTCTACTAAGGGTATTTGTACCTTTTTTTTTTCACAATACGAGTTAATTACTGCAGCCTGAAGCTTGAAAGTAAATGGTACTAAAGAATGAATGGAAATTAAGTCATGGACAGTAGATTTATCGTGATGAATCTTTAAATTTTCCCTGTCAAAAGAGTGATCGACTTCTAACGGTGGCGCCAGAGCATAAAATGGGGAGTCTTGAGAAAAGGCGGATAGGGATTTCAGAGAGGAAGATGATCGATGACGGGGAATATAGGTGATGGAGTATCATATTTATTCTATAGAGATGGATCCTTTTCGTCCTTGATTCAAGAAGAATTGTAAAAGGTTGAAAAATTTTATCTGGGGGGGAGAAATTAGCATGTGGCAGGGATGAAGGATTCTTCTTCTTACAGAGCCAAGAGAGTAGTGACAATAAGAAAGTGAAGAGTTTTTGGGAGCTTCCTTTGAAAATGAAGAAATGAAATCCCATGGAGAGTGGATGAAGATAGGGAAAAGAGAGGTTCAATATCTCTGCAAAAGTTTACGACAATGGACTGTCTAAGACCCAAGAGATGCAGAGAGGAATTAGAAGAGGATAATCCTTCTACCGACTTTCACGGGCAAATAAAAATAATCGAGAAACAACAACTCGTGAAAGAATACGAGAAAATTTGTCCTCAAAAGAAGGAACTAACAAGGTGCCAAAAATTGGATCCCCGAAATTCTATTTATGGCATAATCATCTTTTTATTTAGATTTTGTTACTTGTCATCAAAATATTTCCATGCTTAGAACACAGATGAATAGTAGAATCAACTCTTTTGCTATAATGCTCCTTTTGGCTCTCTCTCATCCTTCTCTGAACCATGTAAAATTAGTAGTTTTCAGTGATTACCTTCTTTGGTCTCAAAACAATGTTATTGTACATTAGTTTGTTGTCTAAATTGTTTTATTAAACCGAATTATTTCAAATTTAATGGAATTTAGCTATCCTAAGTCTGGCATTTTTTTTCTCAAGATTAGGCCTATTTTAATATGCGCAGCTATAATGTAGTTGAGATCAATGCAAGCTCAGACACAATAACTGAACAACGGGTTCTTCTCCTGGAGTCCAGACGGTATTTAGGCTGTACCGTAGCCATTTATTTATTATAGTTCAATGATTTAGAATGCTCCTTTCAGCATCTCGAGAAATTATTTTTGTAAAGCAAGTTTGGAGAGGATAATTATACGTTTTTGTGGGTGGCTTCACGTAGATTTTATATCATCAAATTATAGTTCTGGAAATATGGAAAAAATTCGAATGAAAATGTGCTTTCACAGTTGTCTGCTTACAGAAGATGTAGCTAACAACATTTTCCTGTGGCTTTAGTCACTGTTGATCTTGCGAAATATCAGTCCAGAGACCATTTCATTCCTTTGCTGCAGACTCACTAGTCAGGATTTCCATCAATGAGGTCGTTACTAAGAAGAAGGAACGAGAAATACAGGGGATCCCCAAGCAAGTTAGTGGGATCAACAAAATCCTCAAATACATTGCTGCGTGGGTCCACGAAGATGAAACCAAGATCGGCAATCTTGGTGCACCATTTCCTGACGCAACGGACGTATTCATTTTCATTAAATTTCACTGATTTCAGGATATTTTAAATCCGACATGGAGAGAACACATGCTGCATCTAACCGAGCAAATTCGCTCTCATCGAAGGTCCACCGGTTCAATTCATGCTCGGTATGCGTACCAAGCTGGTCTTTCTAGAATACCTGACTTGTTCTTGTTGGACACATTTGATTGTTATTTTATTTATTTTTTCATGCAGATGTGCTCGCTCTTGGTTATATTTGGTTTGTCCGCGTCGTTGGAACACTAGCCCTCTTCTTGCTTAGCCATAAATTTGCATTCATGCTTCGGTGAGATCACTGACAATATTTACATTAAAACTCGAGTATAGAATTTGTTATTTGCTTGGTAATCCTTCATGATAATTCTGCTTGTGTACGTATTCGGCATGATTCTATAGTTTATAATCCTTTGGTTCCTCCGAGTTTCTGATTCATGTTAGTCGCTCTTCAAAATTGGTTCTTGAATAAACTTAAAAGAATCATACCTGACCTTAGTCTACATCAATCTAGTAGAGAAATACACCGTAGAGATCATAAAATGGGAGCGAATCTGAGGTCGTGGCGTTCCCGACTGTGGGCATCCAGGCATGGGGGGCGGCAAAATGGACCCAGGCTTTGGATGGATGGGGTAGACCCATGCGTCGCATCAGCGGTCGTAGGCAGACTTCTCGGCCGGCTTTGGGGTGTGCGCCCACGCCCCCTCGATTGCCTTCTTCGACGTCACGAAGATCGGCCTACCTTGAGGTAAGGAGACCTTTCCTTCCGTGCCCACGGGCCTCCCTCACGCCTGTCTCTCTCGTTGCTGTTGATCAGGAACACGACGGGCGATGTCGCCGCTGGCTTGGTGTCCTGTCATCCTCCGTCGCTGTTGCGGCGTCATCACCACCGTGCTGATCCTCAGACATCGGCAAGACGGGTCGGCATCTGGCCTCTGCAGGAAGATAGAGTGATTTATTTGTTTCCAGGAAAGCGACTAGTTCTGCTTATCCTCGAAGTAGTCACTCTCGTACGGGAACCGAGGGGGAGAGAAAGAGACCCTAGAATATGAACCAGACGGCTGCAGCGAAAGTTAAACACGAGATCATTGGCGTTGGTCTCAGAGTGGTCGGGGTTCCAAAGCTGAATATCACCGTACGAGAAGGCACCAACGGAGGTCAAACGCTTGGGTTGCCTCTCTCCTTACGCCACCATGACGAGGTTGAGACGTGACAATTGACGTGATATCTACTGTCGCCTTCGGCATCGTGCACCTAGATTTGAATCGCCAGCAGGTCGTTAAAGGCGTCCTTGACTGGTAACTTTTTCGTTCATCTTCTCTGACGAAGTCATCATCTTTCGTTTAATTCCCTATAAACAGATGTACAGGCATAAATGAGTTAGATGAGGTTGATGCAGGATTTGTTCCCGTCTCCGTCCTGGGCTCCTCATTACTATATTCCCAAGTACGTGTATCCCCGTCGGAATATTTATCATGCCTGCAACTGGGAGCTAGAGAAGGGGAAACTCGTCCAACTCTTTGTTTCGCGTTCTTCACGTTCAAGGAAGGAAATTAAGGTCCTCATATCTTCTTCCCGTCCCATCGTTTATTCCTTCCTCTGTCCTCTTTTGCTTCCTAGGTTTACCTGCTTGGAGTTGGATCTCATAGGTATTATATTTCGAAGTGTCTTATATCTTTTGAACCCTATTCGTATTTCTAGGTTTTATTTTGCTGTTCGGTTCCTCTTTTTTTCTTGGCGCAGACAAACTCTGATATCCTTTTTACAGATTCTTAGCAATCATTTTTCTCCTGAGATTTTGCTGATTTGTACAGAGCATGCCTGATAAACAATTCTTCACCGATTATAGTGAGGCTACAAGATATCAAATCCAGGAGGTTATTGGCAAGGGAAGTTATGGTGTGGTGGGGGCTGCCCTGGATCTGCACACTGGTGAGAGGGTAGCAATCAAGAAGATAAAGGATGTATTTGAGCAAGTTTCTGATGCCACCCGCATTCTGAGGGAAATAAAGCTCCTCCGGTTGCTGCGCCATCCAGATATTGTAGAGATAAAGCACATAATGCTTCCTCCATCCCAGAGGGAGTTTAAGGATATATATGTTGTCTTTGAACTGATGGAATCTGATCTTCACCAAGTTATCGAGGCAAATGATGATCTCACCCCGGAGCATCACCAATTTTTTCTGTATCAGCTCCTCAGAGCGTTAAAATATATCCATTCAGGTCAATCTCCTTTGTGTTAGTTCATCTGTGAAGTCGGTCAGAGTGCGATTGCGGTATCTTTGCTGATATTTCCTGTTGCTCATTTGCAGCTAATGTTTTTCATCGGGACCTGAAGCCAAAAAATATCCTTGCTAATGCCGATAGCAGGCTGAAGATTTGTGATTTTGGGCTGGCACGAGTATCATTCAATGATTCTCCGTCAACTATTTTCTGGACTGTACGTGACTCTTTCTTGGTGTTCAAGTCCAATTCTGGCCTTTTGATATCGAGTTGCATTCAACAGCGTTTAATTTTTTGTTTCTCGCTCTATCCTTGTGGATAGCCCTGATATCAAATCTTAATCCTCTTTTCCCTCATAGGATTATGTGGCAACCAGATGGTATCGCGCTCCTGAGCTTTGTGGTTCCTTTTACTCCAACGTAAGTCGTGAGTTGCTTTTTCATAAGAGAAGAGTTGTTATTAAGTTTAGTCTGAGTGTGATACAGTAACTAAAGTTAATATTTTTCCCTGCAAAGATGTTGCATTGACACGGTAATTAGTATATTGGATCTTTTTTCTGCATAATGCATAATATACTAGGAAAGCTGCAATCCATTTCTGACGTAGGATTGCATGATCTCGGCAAAGCCTGTGCGGCCAAAACGTGTGGTTCTGCTTGAATGGTGAGAAGCGGGTCTGGGAAAAACGAGGCGTTTGGTGGGGTGGTGGGTGGACAGGAATAGACTACAAAAGTTAGTGCCTGGCCAGTTGAACACCAGGCCATTTCGGGCCTATTTTTACGCCTAGAAATTTTATTTTAGGATCGTACAATGTGGGGTCCCCCTATTTTTACGTATTTGGGTGATCAATCAAATTTGGTACTTATCACACAGATTTAAGATCTTAGTTTCCATGTGGTCACTGTAGAGTTCCCCACCACTTATTTGCGACTGTTCATTTGGATGGTTCACGACTATCGATGCACATCTATAGATGATGACTCATGTGGGAAGCTAACCACGCGTATAATGCATCTGCCTCAACAGTATACACCTGCGATCGACATTTGGAGCATAGGCTGCATATTTGCAGAGCTGCTAACCGGAAGGCCGTTATTCCCTGGTAAGAGCGTAGCTCACCAATTGGAGCTTATTACCGATCTACTTGGCACTCCCTCAGCAGTGTCCATTGCAAAGGTTGGTATCTCTCTGTTCTGTAGTTTCAGATTTTTTTTCATTTGTATATTTATAACTATTGGTATGCTTTATGAAGCTGGTAGTAGAGGCCAATTACAACATAAATCACTTACTGTTCTACTTGGGGTTGCTTCTAAAATGTGCAGATCCGCAATGAAAAGGCTTCTAAATATTTGAGAAACATGCGGAAGAAGAACGCCATTCCTTTCTCAAGAAAATTCCTGAATGCAGATCCTTTGGCTCTTCATCTACTTCAAGGATTACTTGCGTTTGATCCCAAGGATAGACTTACTGCTGAAGAGGTAAGATGTTGAGGTTTTGAACGTTTCTGAACCTGATCTGCATGATGAATGCAACCCTCGAATATATCATTCGTCTATCTTAATAAAATGACTTGAGCTTGCTAAACTTGGTTAGAATCGAATTTCGGTGATTTCCGCATCTTCAACTTTTACGACTTTTACGACCAGACTTGGTTTTAAGAGTATGAAAGCAGATATTCATCGGCCAGAATTTATCTTTGTTGTCTGCACTCCTTAAAATCAACAGCTATTTAGTTTTGTTTAACGTGCTTTCCAAGTGATTTTGAATGATATCTGTTATAGTAAATTTTATACGTAGCATCTTTTTTCCCTTGGGATCCGTGTTGAACGAGGCAAGTGTTTACTTGGACATAAACATGTTGACCCTACAATGGAAAGGACCCATTTTTGGGCTTGTGATTCTGATTCTCTGTTCAAACTCCTCTGTAGGCCCTTGCCCATCCGTATTTCCATGGCTTAGCAAATGTGAACGCTGAACCTGTAATGAGGCCCATTTCTAAAGCAGAATTTGATTTTGAGAGGAGGAAATTGACAAAAGACGATGTACGGGAACTGATTTATCGAGAGGTAGTAAAATCTGTTTTACCATCTTCTCATAGGTATGCACCATTCGTGCACCTTTCTTATGTTTAATTGTCTCTCAAAGTAAACAGATATTGGAGTATCATCCCCAGATGCGGGAAGAATACTGCCGTGGTGCAGATCCAACAAGTTTCTTGTACCCCAGGTGAGGGATTGTTTTCTTTATCATCGGAAATTTTTTCTGTCCTATTCCAGGTGAATATCTATGTTCCATTTCTTTCTTTTATGGGAGAAGTTTAGGTTGGGGTATATGGGTGTTTTTTTGGCCTGTTTGAATCATCAAAGGAAAAACCAAAATCATATTTTACCAGGCAGGATCAGTAAAATAATAATGGAGATAATCTGAGTATTTTATAAACGAATGACGTTGAATTTGAGCTTGGAATAGCTAGTTTCATGACTTGGTCCGCAGACCTGAGTAAAAATCGTCGCTAGAATCATGCCGCTGGGCATTCACCTCTCATAATTCTCTTGCTAGGGCGAAATGAAGGAATGTGGATGAATGACTCATGCAACTAGTATTTCGTTACCTAGAATAGGATAGTAGTAAAAGTGCTTCACAGAGATATTTCCTTAAGTCCTAAGTCCTCTTTTGTCTGAGCTTTTCCTCTTCATTTCTTGAGCAGGGACTAAGGCCAACAGCTACGGCTACTTCAATCATTCACCGCACCCACCTCCCTCTCCTTCTCTTTTTTAGCATCAATCAAGGTTACAATTCATTAGAATATCTAACGTGATAAGACAGCTACCGCCCTTCTGACTCACCCCCAAAAGTAATGTTGATGTACCAAAAAGGGTTTTTCATCAATCACTGAAAGTATCTCTTACGTATTTTATTTTAGTTTAGTTCTGAGTTTAGGTTTAACTTGTTTATGGCATTGATTTGGTCAGCGCTCTAAAATTTCTGAGATCCCCTAGCCCACATTGACCTTCTTTTACCAACTTTGCTGGATTCATCTCATATTCTGGCTGTCCTGGATCACGACTTTAAGGCGCCTTCAGACGTTTCTAGTTCTCTTTCAGCTCAACGTCTATAGCTGTATCTAGGTTAGGAACACGTTTTTTAAAAAACATTAGGACAGGCTTTTTGGATTTCTTCCTGTACAGAATTTTACTGTCACCTGCAGTATATTTTCTCATTTCCTTGACCCACAACTCTTTTGTCATACTTTGGTTCTGTTTGACGCAGCAGCCGTTTAATTATCCGATTCATCTGCTGAAAATGTTGGATATTTTGTTGGCAGCGGAGTCGATCGGTTCAACACACAGTTTACTCACCTCGAAGAGCATTGTGGCAGGGAAGAAACAGGCACGCCCCTCAGGAGGCAGCATGCGTCTTTGCCCAGGTTTTTTTTTTGTAATTTAATAGGTCATATTTAGTTATTTCGCGACGGAGATTGGAAAATAACTGAGCTATGATTATCAGATATCCATAGCTGACCTATGCCCAGCCAAGGGTTCATATTGATCCTTTTTCTCTTTCCTTTCTCCTTTTCAGGGAGCGAGTCTGCTCGTCCAAAGATGAAATTTCAGATCAAAATGGTGACTTTGAAAATAAAAGTCCGGCTTCTGTTGCCCAAACTCGTGAGGGCTCCCCAGTCTCAGCATTGACGACGGACAATGTACACAATAGATCAAATTGTAGTACTCGTTGTTTGACTAAAAGTGCCAGCATCAGCGCTTCTAAGTGTGTATCGGTCGATGATGGAAGACATTCAGAAGTAAGGCTTCTAGTTTCAAAACAGAAAATTTGTTCTTGTTTATTTATAAAAATTGATTTATTGTTGACCTAAAAGCAATTTCGAATTCCTAAACGGCAGTTTCTTTTTTTATTGGTTCCGTCGATAAATTTGTAGATTATGATTTAGGATCTGAATTTACATCTAAAATTTGAACGGATAATCTAGGATTTGGATTCCCCACTTAATATGTTGAAGAGGAATCGTATATGTTTCATCAAAGAGTTGTTGTCTTTCATTATTGATTCTATCAGCTCTTAAATCAGTGCGAGTTATTATTAGCTTTCAACTGTTCCTTCATATCAACCATAAATACAGCCATTAATCTATTACTATCATCAATAAATGCGGATTTTTTCCCCAGTAATTTTTTTATCACCCCAAATCAAGTTTATACTTCACCAGGAATAGAAGTCATAACCCAAAACTAAACCCACCGCTGCAGTCGAATCTGCGTTTATCTTCCGTGAAATTCTGGATATTCCCTTTTTAGAATCTTGCTCCTTGGCATCGTGAAACCGACTCGTTTTATAAGAGTCAAATTTTTTTTTTAACCCATAACCATCTGCTAAACAGGATGAACCGCTTGATGAGCCGCCAGAAGACATTGATGGGTTACCACAGAAGATTTCTGCATTGCACACCTGATGCAATCGAAGACCCATCGGTGTTCTTGGTTCATCATAGCACCATGTGAATGCTTTTTTCACCTTTTTTTAAAAAAATTGCAGGCAAAAAACTCACTAGTTGATGCAGGGGAGAACCACCTTACAGAGGCTCCTATAATACTGCTCGTGACTATTGATGATGTTTACATGACCAAAGACTTCATTTTAAAGGTTACGTACAGATTGTTTTGCTTAATGAATATTTATACTTGTCAAATCATGATTCAAATGAGTACCTAGCTAAGAATGCCGAGATCTCACCCGTCAACTGAGTAAAACCAAAAAAAAAAAAAAGAAAAGCATCTTTACTCGGTTTAGATTTTCTCAATCACAAGGTACTATGTGCTATACAAGCCATATGTGTTCCTCAAAAGGAATGAGTCGTCTGCATGGAGTTCGATTTTCTTCAATGCTAATGTTAGCAATGAACACTTTGGAAACCACAATTTCTTGGCGAACAGCACGTCCAATAGAAATGGGTCTGGTTTTTGAACAATTTGTTCCTAGAAATCATGTATTTCCCCAAGACTTCAAAGATTACATGAATGTCCACAAGGCAGCAACTGTTTAAGAATTTTCCTGTGAAGCATGTCTACACTGTGAATCACATCCACTTGATTTCCTGGGAACTGGTTCAGAATTATTGCTTTCACAACTTCTCTACAGCAATCCACGGGTAGCATAAGAGTGGACTCTTCAGTTATGATCAACCACTGCCGTCAAGCTGCCCATGTGAAAGAAGGTGCGCCATGTATTGCTGCAGGAGAATGAAAACATGATGAAGCACTCCAAACCCAAGATCCGTGGCAAATTTAATGCACTATATAGCTGGTGAAAAGTAAGAAAAATGAACCACAGAAGCACTCTACCGATGTCGAAACAGACCCAAAATGCCCAGTAAGTTTGGAGTTTCGGATTCCAATCAATTCTACAAGTCACTAATAACCACATAGCTGAAGTTAGCTTTGGCTTGATCAATGGGCTCCTCTCCTCTACTATTAGATTCCTACTCTACTTACCCATCACCTGCCGTCTGCATCTGCCATCCATAGAGCACCCCTTTTTTTTTCTCGATTTCCCTGTCTGTTATAATTAACTCAAAAACTGCTAATAATCACAGTAAGTTCCCCGTGTTCCTCTAGGGTTAATCTTGCCTCATGGTAGCCTCCTTTCTCTTCTTCTGTGGGAGTGAATACTAAAATCATTTCAGCACCCCCAATGAGACATAGGGCTTGTGTTCGAACGGTTTCCTGTTGCACTTGTCTTCACTAAAATCACTTGTATTCCAGTATTGCATGCTCTTAAGTTGAGGCTGAAATGAAACATATTGCTTGCTCCACCCGGAGGAAAAAAAAAATCATGATTGTTTTGATATATCAAACACATTCGTTATGACTTATATTTTTAACTCCTATTAAGTAGATAACACAGTGTATTGACCCTCAAGACCAAAGGATCTAAAAAGTCAACATGTATTGTGTCCCATTTCCTCGCATTAAAACAATAGGAAAATGAATTTGATGAGCCTGATTTCTGAATTTTGCAACATACTAACCACTTTTCAGTGTCCATTGTCAACGTCTACCGTGCAACTCATAGAACTTGGTCGGCCTAACCTCTGAGATTTGAGATGAAGTGTCAAATCCCAGTGTTCCATGGGGGTCTAAAGTCAAAGCTCACCATACAAGCGCATGCATGCTCATTTTGGTTAGGGCCAGATGTGGTATGTAGATTAGACAAGTCAAAGGGAAGAACAAGGTTGGACCAGGTGAGCATGGAACTCACAGCATGATATGCATAAGGCGGCTTGCCCTGGCGTTCAAAGTGCTTTGCCATTATGCAGAATTCAATTGGCCCCCATTCATCCTCTTCGAAGCAATTACCCAACGCCGCCTTGTACAGCTGCTCCAAGACATAAAATAAGTATGTGCTGGCTGAAGAAGAAAGATAAGAAATCGGACCCCAATGAAGCATATTCACGTCGAAAATAGATGATATCTCGACGGCCCATTTATGAAGAAAGTGAAGGCCACACAGACGGGCAACGGGTCGAAGGCCAAGGCGCGCGGGGAGAAAGAGAGAGATCAGATGTGTGGAGAAGACTAGCCCCTCTCTTTTGGAGACGTATTGACGAGCAGGTGGCGTGCGGGGGGTTTCTTCTCAAACTAGGGAGAGAAAGAGGAAGAGCAGGCGGACCTTGGCGGTGTCGGTCAGAAGCTCGGTGCCGGCGGGGTAAGCGGCGTAGAACTGGTCCGCCCTGGAATAGCCGGCCCTAGTCCTGCGCCATGAGCTCGACAGATGAGAGGAGACGAAGCGAAGCGGAGGAGAGGGAGGGGGAGGGGCGAGGACGGACGTGTTATTGGTGTAGACATAGGTGAGGAAGGCGACAAAGGAGTAGAAGCCGGCGTAGCCGACCATCCGCCGGAACCTCTGGATCTTTAACGCGTCCTTCCACCGCTCGCGCAGCTCCATCCTCACCGCCGCCTCCGTCCCAGCTTCTCCGCGGCCCGAGGAAGGGAGGGAGGGAGGGAGGGGAAGAAGGGAACGACCGAGGGTGAATTGTGGGGACAACCCATTCCTAAACCCCTACAGAAGAATATTAATTAAAAATATTATGAGGACTTATTATAAAATAGGATTTGAATTATATGAATATAAGACCTCTTCTCACATGACACTACTAAATTATATCTCATATACAGCATTATATGTATATATACAATATTTTCACACAATGAGTTATATAATGAAGAATATATATATTTACAGTATAAATAAATTAAAATGTATTTATGAATCATGATTTTAGTCCCCATAAAACTCTTGCGTTACATTTATAATTATCATGCTTTTCGATATTCCACGTGGACCTATCAAGGTTCTGGGTGGGTCATCAGCCATGCCTCGACCGAATCCTAATCGGGCCCGTTAGCTGTTGTTTGGGTTCGGATCCTCGTCGTCCTCGAGAGGCCGGGAGGAGTGGAAGAGGGAAGAGGAGGGAAAGCGGACGACGGCGCCTAAGCTTAGTCAAAATGTCGTAGTTACATCAAGAGATAAGGGAAGTGAGGATCTCCATGGCCGATCGTCGTCCTCGGAGGAAGAGAGAGAGAAAGAGAGGGAGAGAGAGAGAGAGGGATCACGGTAGCACCAGCGGCAGCAGCAGGAGGACGACGACGGAGGACCACCACAGGTAGAGGAGGCGCTGGGGCGGCGGTGGGGGGGAGGCGGCGGCGGTGGCGGCGGCGGAGGAGGAGGAGGAGGAGGACTCGTCGAGCTGGACGTAGTTGACAGCGAGCGGTATGCCGTCGCGGGACAGGCTGCAGGAGAGCGGCCGCCCATTGGCGGGGGTCATCATTAGGGTGCGGAGCACGCGGGTGACGGTGGGCATGTACAGAGTCCGGTTCCGTCCGAGCAGCCATGTCAGGGCCATGAGCTGGCAGTCCCTGCTCCGGCCGAGCTTCCCTCCCCTCACGCTGAGGACCTCGCTATTCCCCCCGCCGGCGGCGCTCCCTCCGCCGCCGTGAGAGGCACCGTCCTCCTTCTCCTCCCTCTGCAAAGTCTCCCCCGCCGGGAGGAAAAGAGTGAAGGTGAGAACAAGGTGAGAGCAAGGATGAGACGAAAAGAGGAGAGGGAGATTCTCAGTCTGAGTGAAGGTGAGAACCAGGTGAGAAGAGCCGAGGAAGTGGAGAGCTCACCTGGTAGAGGCTTCGCAGGCAGCGGGTACAGCTACCTGGGCCGCCGGCGGCGCAGTCCTTCTCGAGGCGGCGGGCGTGGTCGTCGCCGGCGATCCACCGGCCGTCGCTGCCTCTCTCCAGGCGGAGGCCGCGGGGGCAGGAGAGAGGGCGCAGTCGCACGCCGCAGTAGCAGTAGGCCACGTCGCAGGTGCCGTTGACGTCCCCCAGCGCCACCCCGTGCCCCCGCAGCGCCTTCTGCACGCCGTCCATGCAGGTCTCGGAGTCGTCGGGAAGCACCGGGAGGTCGGAGGACTGGGTGGCGGAGGTTTGCAGCTTCACCGCCGCCGCGAGGGCGGTGGCGGAGTAGGCGGAGTAGAGCCAGGCGGCCAGCGTGGGGCAGCAGCGAGAGCGAGAGACGGTGGCGGGGGCGCCGGAGGAGGAAGACGATGACGATGGGCAGGCGCGGGCGATGCCCTTGAAGAGCTCATTGGGAAGGTCGAGGCGGCAGCTGCCGGAGAGATCGGCCTGCTCCGGGAAGGCGGGAATGGTGGCGGCGGGGAAGGCGGAGGAGGAGGAGGAGGAGGAGGAGGAGGCGGTGAAGGCCGACGATTGGATGGGCACTGGTTCTGGCTTCTCCGGAGGCACCTTCGGGGAGGAAAACACCGCCGGGAAGAGGAGGAACACCACAAAAATCACGAAGGAGCGCATTCCGATTTCTTCTTCCTTCTCTCCTCCGACCTGTTTCTTCTTCTTCTTCCTCACGAGAGGTTGGATGGAGAGAGCTCTTATGTTGGCAAGGCGGGGGAAAACTGTGACTGCTTCATCCTCCTCCGCTCTTTTTCACCCACTGGAGTCACCTAGTAAGCGCCAGCCGGAGAGCTGTAGACAGAGAGAATCCCCGGTGTGGACCCTCTCAGACAGCCATGCCTGATGAGAAAAAGCCCACTGAATCCCCATCATCTGTCAGCTAGATCTCTGCACATGACCAACAAGATGACGTCGATGCACCAGACTAGGGTTTTGAACGGAGACATCCCAGTAAAGTGGGGCTCATCTGGGTCATGTCGTGATATCGTCACAAGGTTACTAACTAAAGTCCCATTTTTATTTTTTCTTTTTTTTTGTGTGACCAAGCTAGTGAGAATTTCATCTAATTAACTCAATGAACTATATAAACCAAGGCGTTATGAGAACTTTATTCAAATGACGCGGCATTTGATTTTGATCAAGGATCAAAGACTTGCAACGAATCTAGAACTGGTATATTTCAGCATTATTATCCAGCACCATTAAAATGAGGGCGTGTGAGTGCTTGGAAATTAGGGTTTCTCCCCCAAAGGCCTGGCAGCCCAACCCGTACTGGCGTTTTCCAAGCATGTGACACAAATTATCTCTGCAAAAAAAATAAAATGTCCGGCTCGATTATCGTATTGGCCAGACCAATCACATTACATTCTCTTTCTCTCTCCGTCCCTCACCTACCAGCAGGTGCACGCAAGCGTAGGGAGAGAGAGAGAGAGAGGGAGAGAGAGAGAGAGAGAGAGAGAGAGAGAGAGAGAGAGAGAGAGAGAGAGTCTTACATGGAGTATACTGTAATCTCTGAGCTAGAATGTAGACATCTCCAAAAATATTTTTTTCCAGCCGCGGTGAGGTCGTTGCAGAATGATGGTTAATGAGGCATATCCGTCTATCTATCCGTCAATTCATAAGTCAAAGGGTTATGTCAACCCATCTAAAAGATGCTCGTAGCAGGGTAGGCTTGACCCTGAGCCGTTGACATATTTTTCTTACCCTGATGCCCCCGGCTAGCTTTGACTTTTTCACGTCATTGTAAACTTAATTTTGAGATATATAAGATTTAAATTTTAATTAAGGCAAGCCTTGGGTTTCCATTTGTGGAAAAGAGGGATTTTCCATGTAAGTATCATTGAAGAAAAATACCTTCCTTATGAGGAGCAAACCGGCAACATTTGTGAGATTTTTTTCTCTCCTTCTTGGTTAATTCCGGCCGTGGTGGCCTAAAATAATAAGATAATATGTACTTAAAAGGGATATAATATAATAATTATTATAATAATAACAATTTCTAAAAAAGGGAAGAAAATCCCTGTACTTTCTCTTTCACCTGCAACAACTGTCCAAAGCTCTGTGAACTGCGAAAAACAGTCGATGTCCTATCCATGTATCCTCCTTGTTACCCACTCGAGGGAATCTTATTGGTCGACATGGCAAGATCTGAATGATCTGGCGAATTCACCAGTTCCAATCCAATGAGGCCCAAGAACAGCGGATTATCTTGTGGAAAATCAAAGTCAACCCGTCAACCACCAATCGACCCACAGCAAGAAAGTGAGAGACATAGAAGCAGGGTCCAAGCACATCAAGTTAAAGAACAAAAGGTTACTCTCTAAGCTTCTGGAGAGAGAGAGTACACGGGGGAGGAGGGATGATCCACGACAGGATTCCAAACACTGACGTGCAAGAAAGCTGCCGTTTTCTAACTCGACGCGGAGGACACCCGAAGCAGCCGAGGCGAGTAGCGTAGCAATCCACGAAGGCGACGAACAAAGTCCCTGGTTGTTTCCGGCAGACCGTCTGCCGGTGGTGGAGCCGCCCTTCCCTCCCTTTCTTTCAAACATTCATATCTCCGATTCCCCAGTCGCAGCAACCGGGAAACAGACCACTCCCGTCCTCTCGCATCCTTTGTGGGCACCCTCCCTGATGCGTCTGGCGTCTGCCATCGCCGGTGCCTCTCTCTCTCTCCCTCCCACCCCCCTCAGCTTGTGAACAGCGGTTGGCCTTTTCTCGTTTGGCCGGTTGCCCACCGGGGGCACTGTAGGGGTGACTAACGTTGATTCCATTTGAGGGCACAGCTTGTCCGGGCGCCTGGCGGAGTCTCCCCCTGTGTACTGCCTCTCTCTCTCTCTCTCTCTCTCTCTCCCTCCCCCTCCCCTATTACGGCCCGAACGGAAAGCATCCTGTCCGAGAGCTGGGAGTCTGCCTTCGGGCTCTCATAATTCCGACATCATTTTCGTTCTCGTAGTCCACCGCCGTATCGACTGATGCCAAGCTCGAAACCAACGACGGGGACGATGTGATCATTAAACCCTAGTTTTTGGTCACTTCCTTCCCCTCCCTCCTAATAAAATGAAAATATATTTTCCACTGCTTTCGTAAAACAGTTAATTGGTTCTCAGTCGTATAGGCGGAGTTATGTAAAACAAATATTGTCAGAGATGACTTTGACCGCCAGATCATCGATTTCTTTGATCGCCCTGGTAAGGTTGACCTTGGGCACTCAAAAGTCAGATGGAGGCATTCCCCGGAAAGGAATATCAACCATTGACAAGTATGAAGAACACTAATTCTGGTTGCTGACCAAAACTAGGCTTCTTCTGGAGCGATGTTTAAAGTCAACCGATGCAATTCAACTTGATTTGGACCGTTCGAGCTCCCGATTACCGAAGAATCCAGTAGGCTCCAGGGCAAGTTTGTGGCCCGCACTGATAGATAGATCAAGGAAGCCCAATGGGCCAATTTTCATATCTGCATGGCCCATATAGAATCTAGGCCACACGTGGCGAAACATTGGCCGAGAGCGTGACTGGCCACCGCGTCTCGTTTACACGTGCACGTTACGATGTCTTCTTCTTCATCCTCTCTTCTTCTTCTTTCTCTCCAAGTGACGGCGGCTGCTACCTTGGCGAGGGGGGACGACCATGGCGAGCCACGTCGACCCGCTGGTGGTGGGGAGAGTCATCGGCGACGTTGTGGACATGTTCATGCCCACCGTCAACATGTCCGTCTGCTACGGCGCGAAGCACGTCAACAACGGCTGCGACGTGAAGCCCTCCGCCGCCGGGAATCCTCCGACGATCAACATCTCCGGCCGGACCGGCGACCTGTACACGCTGGTTCGTTCCCCTCCGCCGCCGGCGACGACGACGACTCCCCCACCCCCCGTCGGAAACCTCCGACTGACCTCATCTCTCTCTCTCTCTATCTGTGGACGCAGGTGATGACGGACCCGGACGCACCGAGCCCCAGCGATCCTACCATGAGGGAGTGGGTTCACTGGTAAATCCTCCTCCTCCTCCTCCTCCTCCTCCTCCGTCTTCTTCCTCCTCTCCTCCTTCGTCTTCCCCGCCGCCCTGGTTCTTCTTCTATGTATACTTGCCGGTTTGCCTCTGCTTTTTTTTTTTCAGGATCGTGGTGGACATCCCGGGAGGAACAGACCCATCGCAAGGTGAGAAAACCCTAAATCCTGCAAACCCTTTTGTCTCACAGTCTTGAGGTTGGTTTCGCTTGCCCGGCAGGGAGGGAGCTGCTGCAGTACATGGGGCCACGGCCGCCGGTGGGAATCCACCGCTACGTCTTCGCACTGTTCCGGCAGCGGGGAGCCTTTCCGCCGATTCCCCCCCCGACGCCGCGCTCCAACTTCTGTACCCGCGACTTCGCCGCCCAGTTTGACCTCGCCCTCCCCGTCGCGGGAGTCTACTACAACGCCCAGAAGGAGCCGGCCAGCCGCCGCCGTTGACCGCCGCCGACCCCTTCTACATAGATGTAGATGCCATGAACACACCTATATATATATATATATATATATATATATACATATATAGTTTTTCTACCCCCGATAATGAATATTAGACTTACATGACGATGAGCTTCAATTTTCGGAATCAATATCCCCTCCGTGTTTATTTAATCATAATGATTAATCGTTGACCAAATGGCCAGGACGGCCCGGAAATAAAGGATCCAGCCCGGCCCGACCTAAAGGGCTGACTTCAGAGGTTTAAACCATACTCCAGACGAATATCAAATGGGGCTCGAATGACCCTCCAGAGTAAGAAAAGGAGAATGGCGCTGAGCTTCCAAAGTCAACGATCGATTTGGGGATTAGCCTCGAAAACTATCGAAAAGAGTAGCACCTCTGATATATCCTAAAAAGTACGTGGGTGAATGATGTCAAAGCCGAGATGATATGATAGAAGCCCATCAGAAACCTCGTATGATAAAAAAAAAACCTTTTTTCCAACAGATAATTATTTATTACTCATGCCCACCTTACACTAATAATTCTACCTAAACTAAGGAGCACGGATCCTTGCAGAAATCTTTCATTGATTTATGAACAAGTCAACTACCAAGGCCCATTTAGATTCCGGATCATTCCCACGTCCATCAAGCTAAGTGGGTGGGTCAATCGTCCTCCGGGTGGTTGGTTACTTCAATACGTCAAACCCCATTGGAAATGTCTCTGGAGGCAAAAAAATTGCCAAAGATACCAGCAGAATTGTGAGGCCTAGTTCATAGTTCTAAGAGCAACTATCTTAATAAATCCCTCATCCATCAAACTTGGTGGGTCAACTATCCATTGACCTGATCCTAATTATACACACCAATACCCGATTCAGGTTTTGAACTTGAATGTATCTTGACAAATCCCACGTTCATCAAAGGAACTGTGTCAAACCGGTAAAACTGGACAGCTAAATTCACAGAGCAAGCCTTGTCCAAACGGATTTCAACAACCATGATTGGAATTGGTCAGCGCAATCAAATCCATGTTCATCACCCTCTGCAAAGGATCATTCTGAAGGTCAATGGCCCAAGGGTGCTGCTATCCGTCACCAGATATCTGACAAAGAAAACGCATTGGCACATGGAAATAAACTGCACCTGGAGTTAAAAAAATTCACGGACATGAACTTGAAGCAGGATGTTTCAAGATCTAGCATGACGAACTCGCAACCTGGTTTACAATGAGATGTTTCAAGATCATAATTTTCCATTCAGGCGTAAGAACACCCAATACTTTGTTTATCTGTCGTTAACATCTGAAGTAATGATTTATGGGCTGAAGCAGGCGAATTTATAGATCAGATCATTAAGCACGAAGCATCCGGAATGAATGGGTCCATCAAGACAGAAGAACATGTCTAGAAAGAGAAAAACAGAGCAAGGAGAGCTCTCACCAAGTTGAACAAGGCGAATGAAATCATCTGCCACCAGCTTCTGAATCCAGAGTTTGCCCTCGGAGCTCTTCGTCTACTCTCCTGAGGAACTGGTCCCAACCGCTTCCCGCGCCCATGTCAAGATAGTCGAAGGGTACGGCAGTCTTCAACCCTGGCCTGACCCCACACCGGTCTTCTATGACCTTGAACTCCGCTCCTTCCCCCTCCAGACATTCTGCCTTCCTCTCCAGTTCCTCCCAGTCAAAGAGCAGAGGCAAAGTGTAGGATCCCCAGGGATTGAAATCCAAGATCTTCACACTCCCATTTCGGGTCACAAACAGATCAAAAGTGTAGTCTTCTGAACCGAATTCTGGGCTCACGACATCCTCGAAGAAGCTTCTGATGAGGGGCTTGAGATCTTGTTTCTTCTCTGCCAGCACCGGGTAGAACGCGGTGACCTCGCGCTGGCAGATGCCCACCAGGCGGCGCCTGCGGACGAAACACCGGAATTCCATCTCTGGGCGAAGTGAATCGTGCCATTTCCGGAGGGCGAGGTAGAAGTCGAATCCACTGGCGGCAGAAGAAACCTGTTTCCGGTCAGAACACGACTCGAGGGCGTGGCACAAGTCGTGGGTGATGCAGTCGGAAGACTTGAGGAGGAGGACGATTTCAGAGAAGGTGGCGCATCTCAGGGACCCTCCAGAGCCCATGGATGCGGCGTCCTTGGGAGCGCTCCAGTTGAGCTTCGGAAAGACCGAGCCGCCGAGGGCCTTGATGGACTCCTCCACCGCTGATTCCAACTCCGGAAAGCAGGGGGGATCGGGAAGGGAACCGCCGCCGTCGCTGTCGGAACCAGACCCTCCGTTGGTTCCATCCTCTTCTTCCTCCTCGTCGTCGGCGAGCGTGGTGTCAGAGAAGAAAGGGTCGTCGGAGTTGGGGTGGCGTGGTAATGGGTCGACGCCTGAGGCCGAGGCGGGGAGGAGGAAGGGCCCGTCGTCCTGCAGGAGGTAGCGAAGGAAGGAATCCGGGATCGGATGGATTAGGGTTTTGATGGAGTGGCGGCAGAATCGAGGGTACCATTCCCCGATCTGGCACCGCAGAAGCTCCGCCTCCTTCATCCCGCCGCCTCCGCCGCCGCCGCTACCTCCTCCCTTCCTCCCCCGTCATGTTTTTGTAGACGGCAGCCTCGACAAATCGGGTTGAACTATCGGGCTACCAGTTCGAACAATCCGAACGATGGTCCGAAATAGTATTCTATTACGAATACGGGCCTGGCCCGAACTTGTACGGATGTCGGCCAGCCTGGCCCGGTACAATATTTTATATTAATCAAGCCCAGTGGACCCAGAGGTGGCAGAGTTCAAGTAACTGACACGAGGGGGGGGGGGGGGGGGGATATCTCAGGCCTGCCGTTATGTGTACCTGCGGAGGCCTGTAAACAGAGCGGAACACTGTCGGCGCTGTTGACCGGCCAACAGCATCATGCTGAAATGCGGAGGGCATGATAACTACGCTCATCCGAGGGACATCATATCCGACTTCGTCGTCACTCGCCGGCCGTCTTCTCTACCAGTATGCCGTACAAGAGGAAGTGGAGGAAGACGAAGACTCGGCCATGGAAGCTCGGCTCTATGGAGTTTCTAAATGTAGTCAGATCTCACGCTTCACGACAAAAGAAGTACGACCCGCTGCGGCTGACGCGGCGGCGCCGCCGGAAGGGGGTGGGCCCTTTCTCATCTGTGTGCTCTTCTCTACAGCTGTACAGCGCCGCCGGCCGCCGGCGGGTTGAGGCTGGTCTGGGTTAGCAGGCGGCGGAGGGCTGGCGGAGCGGTTTCGGGTCTCTGGTGAAGGAGCCCGGCAAGCCGGGTCTCCTGGCGCGCGCCTCCGAGGCGGCGCCGCCGCCACTGACGGCGATGGGGGTGGTAGCGCTGCCGCTGGTGGTGACGCGCTCGCAGCGGGGGCACATGGTGAGGGCGGAGGCCAGCATGGGCTCCCGCGTGTGGGGGGAGAGGACGGTGGGGGGAGCCACCCGCAGGGCCCGCAGCTGCTCCACCTCCCGCTGCAGCCGGCGGTTCTCCTCCGTCAGCGAGCCGAAGCACCGTCGCAGGTACTCGCACTCCATCTCCGTCTGCTTCAGCTTGGTCCTGCGTGCGGTGGCGGCGTCAGCTCCGGCGGAGATTTTCAGAGTCGACCGGTGAAGCGAAGGAAGAAGAAGATGGGCGGAGATCACCTCGCGCGGCGGTTCTGAAACCAGACCTCCACCTGGCGGGGCTTCAGATTCAGATTGAACGCCAAGGTCTCCTTCTGCTTCTGCACGTCCACCCAAAACCCGCCCGGAGACAGAAAGCGGAAGCAGAGGTAGGATCAGAGAGCAGAGGAAGGAAGGAGGAAGAAGACAAGGAGAGGGAAAAGAAAACGGAGGTGGCGGCTTACGGGGTTCAGGGTCTGGTTCTGCCGGAAGCTCTCCTCGAGAAGGCGGGACTGCTCCTTGGTCAGCCGCAGCTTTTTCGGACGGTGGGCGGTGCCGTCGTCGTCGTCCTCCACGGCGCCCATAAGGAACTCCTCCACCCCGGAGGGCGGCTGGTTGATGTCCAGGTTCTTCATATTGTAGCACCCGCCACCGTCTGCACCACACCATCGCATATCAAAACCGGAAAATCCGGCGACCAATCACCATACGATTTGATCCCAAATCTGAGAAATCCGAACCAGAGAAAAACGGCGGAGAAACGGAAGCTCCTCCTAACAGGGTGGGGAAGCCAGGTACTTACTGGAAGACCCAGACGGGGAGCTCATCCCCGGTACGGCCATGGTGAGCTCCAGGCGGGACTCGCACCTCTCCATCGAACCTCCCCCTCGCAGTAGACGAGCAAGAACAGGGGGAGGAAGCAGGAGGACGAAGAGCAGGAAGAACTGAATGCAGTGAGTGGGGGGAAGGGGGGGCGATTAATGTGGGCGGAGGAGACCTTGCGGCGTCTTTACTGCAGTTTTTTGACTCGCCCAGTGGCGGCCGTCGTCATCCGGCGGAGACTCGGGCGGCGCGCTTGGCCTGGGCTGTGGGGAAATCGCCGGCAAGTCCCCCTGTTCGGCGTTGCTGCGTCGTCTTGTCGGGCTTCAGGTCGGATAAGAAATCATTGGCCCCCAAAAGCTGCAACTCTCCCCCACTTCTCCCCTTGCTCCTATCTCTATCTCTCTCCCCATCATTAACTCCTCCGCTCCTCCGCTACCATCCCGTCGCCGTCGCCGTCGCCGCCCGACCTACCACCTCTTCCCGGGACGCGGAGGTTGAATCACCGCCGTACGCACTGCATCCGTCGGGCCGAGTTATTGGAACTTTATGGTCACCGCTGCTCCACCCATCAAAGCCGACCTAATCTCCCAGGGGTCCTCTCACGTGCCGCCATTAATTCCAGGAGATGTTTCCGAGGATGCCACGTGGACCTCATTTCATCCAGCCCATCAGCGAGTGGCTAGTGTCTCTCTCCCCGTAAATCACTCTAGCGAGAGAGAGAGAGAGAGAGAGGAGCTGTGGGACGACCACTGGTGGCGTTGACCGGAGAGGAAGTGAATCTACATGGAGGTGTCCCGGGGGGCGGCTGATTGGACGTTTCGGGGGGCTGTGGAGATCGGGTTAGAATCACCGGGAAGTGATTACTGGCAGGGGGATTACTGGCGGGCGCCAGCTTGTCCTAGCCGTCCCATCCTTCTCCGGTCGTTCTGTCGCACCTCTCGCCAGTCAAACCAGTTGCTAGCGTCATCAGCCTACCGGATCCGGGACGACCAGAGAGACGGCGATGCTCCACGTGATCTCACCCCGTGGGGACTGAAGAACACCGTTCTGCGGTGGAATGTCAACGCCCCGGCTATCACTAACCCCATTGTTGAGGGCCTATCCGTCCGCCGGTCCTCCTTCCTCATTGCACATAAGTAGATCTCATGCGTCCTGTGACGAAGACTTAAGGATTGATTGTAATAATTTATTGATATATTAAAGTATAGGAAATGTTATAAATAACTTATTGTAAAATTAGAAACAGCACATAAAGAAATAATTTGATATAATGAGTTTACCTTTCGATAGTGGGTTTCCACATTATAAACAACATTTTGCTTCCTCGTTCATCTGCCACCATTTCTTAGTCGCCGTCCATTTCATCTGCCATTCTATCTATTATGTCATCTCATCATTCGGTTCATTCTACCATCAACTTCTCGTTCATTCAGTTTTGTTCATTCCTATTTGTTCAGCCATCTCACAATTATATGTTAAGTTCCCACCATTAGTGACCAAGTAAATTGTCAAATCTGAAATGATTCAAATCTATGTAGATCTTATTGATAAAAAGTGATTAAACCCTAAGATCATATTAACACTAAATGAAGATATATATATATATAGGTGGGGGAAGAAAGAGAGATAATAAGTCCAAGTGGGCCACGTAAAAAAGAATATTTAAACACTCTCCTTAAAGCTAAAGCATATAAGTCAAACATATCTAAATTAGTACATACAGCATCATAGAACACTCTTATAAGACTCTTGGTGAAAATATCACCCAACTAATTAGATGAAGTGACATATGATGTGGAGATAATTCTTATCAAAATTTTATCTTAGATGTAGTGAGAATCAATATCGATATGTTTAGTCTGCTCATATAATGTGAGATTTTCAACAATAAAGATTATTACTTGATTGTCACAGGACATAGACATAGGTGTGTGACATCTAAACTCTTTAGAAGAGAGCAAAGTCATACTATCTCACATGTCATCTTAGCTATAACATGATATTTGATTTCTACATTACAATAAAATACTACATTTTACTTTTGAGAGCACTAATGACTAAGTTACTACCAACATACATATAATAGTCAATTGTTGACTTCTAATCTCCTTTGTCACCAATGTACTCAACATCTGAGTAAACTTCAACACGTAGGTGACCATGATACCTATAAATGAGCCCCTTCTTTGGAGCCCATTTGATATAAGTTAAGACATGTAGTACTCTCTCCCAATAGACCTAATGAGGCTCCTATATAAATTAATTAAGATACTGATTATATGTACTGTTAGAACAAGTATTAGTGTGATATATCAATCTCTCCAATAATTATAGATGACGATTAACATACTCTATCAGAAGTAAAGAAATATCTAAGAACTTCAAACACACCTCCATAGGTGATGACTTTGATTGTAGTAAAGAAGTCATATTTCTTGAAGAAGGTCAATGACATATTTTTTCTGAGATAAAACTAGCTTGTTCGATTGATAAGCAAACTCTATCTCAAAAAAGTAATGTAGTATTTCTAAGCCTCTTATGACAATGTGTTAATGTATGTAAGCTTTAGTGATAGAGATGTTTGCCTCATCACTCCTTATCACAAGAATGTCATCATCATATATATCTAGAATGATCATACATCCATGTGTGGTCTTCATTAGGATCGTGAGGTTATCAATACATAGTGAAATTGAAGGTAATAAGAAAGCCATTGAAATACATAAACCAAGCTTGAGAACTCTACTTAAGTCTGTATATAACATACTGAAGTAAGCAAACTTAAGAAGACGTTCTTTGAGCAACATATCTTGGAGGATGTTCTATGAAAATATACTCTTTTCTTAGTCATCGTTTATGAAAGTATTAGACATGTCTAATTAGTGAAGTGATTAATCACAATACATCACCAAGGAAATAAAAACTCGAATAGACTTTAATCAAACCATAAAAGAGAAACTCTCTTGTAATCAATGTCATAGACTTGAGTGAAGTCACATGCAACCATGTGACCTTTGTGGTGAGCTATGTAATCATTTGGGTTGTACTTCAATGTGAAGACTTACTTACATGTCATAATGTTAACATTAGTCAAACAAGGGACAAGCTTTCACATGCCCCGAGAAACTAGTACTCTCATCTTCAAACTCATAGCTATCTTCCAAACAAGGACATGAAGTGTCTTAGTATGTGACTATGGAATCGGTTCAAAGGCCATGGAGAGGGCAAAAGTATGAAAAGGGGGTAAAGGCAATAATAAGAGATAAAATGAGATATAAGATATCTAATGTAAAAGCATATATCTTTGCACAACGTAATGAAAAGATGAAGACCATCCTTAGGCAACACATGATTGTCAACTAATGAAGGGATAGATAAAAACAAAATAGAAAGAGAATCCATGAAAATGACCAAATGTGAAAATCCGAGGGGTAGAGATGCTAATGGATGAGAAGATGAAAGAGATGGAACGAAAAAAAATTCTCATGAAAAATAACATCAACAGAAGTACACATAGCGACGAGTGTCAAGAAAGTATAGATGAAAACCTTTTTGAGTATGTAAGTAACCCACGAAGATACTTTTTAGAGCATGAGAAATGAGTTTAGAAAGAGATGATGAATAATCATGAACAAAATCAGTGTAGTCAAAAATCCGAAGAGGTAAAGAAAAGAGACAACATTAAGTGTGAGATATTGAAGAAGAATGACATCACCTAATGGAGTGGAAGTAAGATAATTCTGAAGACAATTGGCAGTTAACAGTACGTCGGATCATAGTTAATATAAAATATATATTTAAATGAATAATGTGTGAGTGATGTCAAATAAGTGATGATGTTTTTATTCAACAACTTCATTTTATTAAGAAGTGTATGAACAGGTGGTTTGATGAATAATACCATGATTAGTACAAAAAGTACAAATTGAATCTTAAATAAGTTCAAGTACATTATGTGTGCAAAGAATCATGAGTGTGATGAAATATTAGGTAAAAATCTTAGTGATAAATTAGATAACAATAGATAAAACTTGAAATTGATCACGGAGAAGATAAACCTAACTCACACAAATGTAATCATCAACAAAAATGATGTAATAGATATGTCTAGTGATAAAGACAACTTACGATGTTCTCAAACATCACAATAAACAAGATCGAATAGAGCTGATGATGAAATAATATCACAACTAAAATAAAATAAATGATAATATTTTCCTAATTAATATAACTCGCACACAAATTCATTAAAAGACAACACAACAAAATTTTCTAAAGTTTTGAAAAAGATGATCTAAACAAAAATGTCACAAAAGAGAGTAGAAATAATAAAAAGTACTCAAATGTCAAAAGAAGGTGCATCCGAGATAAGCTCATAAATACCTCAACCATTCTCACACCCCAAATCAATCATCTGTCTGGTATGTAGATCTTAAAAGATATAGTGGAAAGGAAAAAATATAATAGCAGAAAGTAAGACATGAGTGATGATATTGATAGATAAAAGGTTTACAAGAAAATTAGAAATGTAGAAGACTTGGGTCAACAATAAGATAAAGGTCATAGTGGTGGTACCATGACCTTTGACCAGATAAATCCAACCATCAACAATGGTCATGAGGGATAGTTTATGGTGCGATGAAGTGAGGAAAATATAGAAGGTGTACAAGTCATATGGGTGGAAGCCCCCCGAGTAAATAATTTGAGACGTTAAAGAGTTAAGTAAGGTATGTGTACATGGCATGGAGGCTCCTGACATAGATACAAGACTAGCAGAAAAAGGTGTATAAGAGAGAGTGATCATGGATCACTTCTAAGTTTCATATTTTGTCGACATAAAAGTCATATAATAGGAGGAGATGTTGCATAGTGAACCATGAATGAGGCTGATGTAAGAGAATCTGAATGATTATTAGAGATAACAACCTAAGTCTACTCAAGCTTGTTGAACTTCTTTCAATACTTGTTTGATGAATGACTTGACTTACCACAATAAAAATATGATGAAAAGGTATTGTGAACTTTATCTTTAGAAGGATGACCACTATTAAAC